CGGGCCTGGATCCAGGTTCGTTCAGAGGAGAGGTTCTCAGACTGGGGTCTGCTTACTTGGTTTTTTCCCCATGTTTTAAAAACTATATTTTGCTATAATTGGTTTCCTCGGTAATTCTGTATGTTTTGTTTGAGCCCTCATTCTGAGAAGGGCTCACCACACTGCCGAAGGGGACGGCCAGAACACCAAAGAGGCAAGGCACCCCTGATTTAGAGAATAAGCAGTTCATTAGCATATAGGCCAAGGAAAGAAGATAATTAACATGCTTAAAAAGTGATAAGTAAAATGGCCACACCTTAGGGCTGGGAAAACACATACCTGAGAAGGGCAGACAGCTTTTTCTTAATCTTTTTGGAAAAAAACAAAACCCCAACCTAATGTCTCTGCTGAGAGTGATGAGACTTGCTGGGAATCTGATCAGGGACAGGCTCAGACTTCCCATTTTCCCCAGGAGATGGGTAGGGCAGTGAGGTGAGGAGGTCTCCTCTCCAGGCTAATTGATGACTCAGTTTCTCTGACTGTTTCGGAGCCTGGGAAAGAGGAGCACAGGGTGTTATGAGATCTCCAGAATGTATTTCGCCCATAAGCAGATGTTACAGTGAAATATACGACCTTCACAATTGTCCCGACAAGAGATGACAATGCTCCCCACAACCCCAAACGCTCCCCTCCACCCCAACCCTGGGCTTCAGGCTGAGCTCCTTTTGGAATAATTGGTGGGTGCTGTCCAGAGGGAGCTCCTCCCGGGACAAGGTCAGTCTGGGGTCATGACCAGCTGCCCCGACTTGGTGTCACCCACAAGAATTTGGGTCCCACTTAGAAAGGCTGGGCCATCATGGACAGAGCCCTGGTCTGGGAATTCAGCCTGTCTGGTTCAACCACATACCAGCTGTGTGACCTTGCATAAGTCAATTCAATTCAACTGTGGGCCTGAGATTCCTGGCCTATACATTGAGGGTTCTGGACTAATGTTTCTCTTAAGGCCATTTCCTGTCCTGTCCAGCTACACTGAATGAGGTCTTGTGCTTCACACCTCACTTGCCTCCTCTTTCTTTATCCTGCTCCCCCTCCATCCGGCTGCCTACCTTGGTGCCAGTGTCTGCCTTTCACCTAGAAAGGTCACTCCCCGAGCCAAGAAGCATTCTTTCAGCCTCCCTTCTCCCATGTCATCCTTCTCAGAGCCTCATCTATGCTGCTAATCCCTTCCACTAAAGAACACCTCTCAGAGGCATAGCTGAGCCTAGCTCTTGTCCCAGGGTCACAGTGACATAACGTGATATTATCAGCAGTCGAGTTGCATCTGAACTTTTAGATAAAGCTGCGAAACTCTGTCTCTGCACCCAAAATTGGGAAAATTCAGCTTGAGGGCCTGGTTTTGGGAGAGCCTTGAGTCAGAGCATATTTTTTTAAGAGGAACCGTGGTGTGTGATCTGGGTTCAAATTAGCCGTTTCCTTGTGTCCCCTTTAGCAAATATCTTCATCTCTTTTGCCTTCTACTGCTTTATTTCTAAAATGAATAAGCTCATCTAGATCAGAGATTTAGGGCAGGAAGGAACCTAAAAGGCCATTGGCTCCCACCCTATCATTTTACGGAGGAGGAAACTGAGACCCATCAAGGCTAAGCAACTTTGCCCAGTATCACCCAGCTGTCTGAGGCAAGATTGAACTCAGGTCTTCCCTTCCCTACTCAATAAATTCCATTGGTTCCCTATTATTTCTAGGATCAAATAAGCAATCTTCCATTTTAGTATTTACTTCCAAGACCAACTCTCTTCAGGGCGCCATCTTGAATTGCTAAGGTTTCTTCCAGTTTTATATCCTAGAGTAGACTCATTGTTTTGATGGTCTACACTCTACACCTTCACCTCAGCCTAGCTTTGACTGTCCCCTGCTTCATCCTTCCTGTCGCTCAGCCACCCCTACTTGGAGCAGGTTGGGTGTGTCTTTCTGCCTTATGATTTGGACAACGGCATTGCCTGACTTCTGCTAGCTTACCCTTGCTTCCAGATCAGATTCAAGGTGCTTATCTCTCTCGCCCATGGACATCATGCTCCTTAACTACTCCATACTCTTATTTCTACTCCCTCCTATCTCCTTTCCTTTGCTTTTTTTAATTAAAATTTTTTTTAATTGATTGATTGATCGACTATCGTCAATCCCGGCCTCCTGCTCCCTTGATTTCCACCTTGTTTCTTTCCCATCTCAAGTGTTTCATCTTCTTCCCTCATCTTCTCCAAATCACAAGAGCAAGTTCTACTCTTCTGACCATCCTCTATGGAAGCCGACCACTGAGGAAGGGGGTGCACATTTCTGCTTGGTGAAATGAGACGTTCGCTCTCTTTTTAAAGTCTGTTCCAGGCAGATGTGCTGACTTTTACCATCTTGTGTATTTTACGTCTGCATTAGGTTGTCTGTCAGGCTCAGATTGGAGCCCTCAGGGTAGACAGTAAACCCCAAACACCATGTTGGTGCTTAACTGCTAAATAATTGGGCTCCCATTGCTGTGTGTGTAGCCTGAGTGGAGGAACAGGTATCCCTTCTCCTTCTGTACCCTGTATGAGAGGCATATTTGGAGATGACTTAATGTTTATGTCTTTGGCAACAGGGCTTTTAAATTTTTTTTTTTGGAGGGGGTGAGGCCCTCAACATTGGCTTTTTTGCTGTCTTGCCAATGAGGAAATTCCACAAGCATTCCTGTTGTAATGCTGGAGGAGAAGAGCAGTTGAGCTTGACTAGGCTTTCTTGGGAAACTTTGTTCTCAAATTTTATTCCATGTCCCAGCCCAGTGTTTCTCCCATTTTAGAGAGAAGTCAAGTTAGCAAGCATTTATAAACTGCCCGCTATGTGCCAGGCACTGTGCTAAATGCCAGGGACACAAAGAAAAGCAAAAAAACAATCTCTTTTTCTCAAAGAGCTCACAGCCACAGCAAATGACTGTACAAACAGGATATATAGACCAAAAATTGAGGAGCTGACTCAGAGGTAAAATATCAAAGTCGCAGAGGATCAGAAAAGGCTTCTCACAGATGATGGGAGGATTTAAACTGAGACTTGAAGAAGACAGGGAAGCCAGAAACTCCTCAAAGGAGTTGAGGAAGGAGAGAGTTCCAGGCATGGGGCACAGCCAATGGAAATGCCCAGAGTTCAGGACGTGGAGGGTCGTCTTGGAGGAACAACAAATAGGCTGGTGTCATTGGACTGGAGGAAGAAGACTGGAAAGATGGAAAGGGGCCAGGTGATTGAAGGACTTTAAAAGCTAAACAGAGGATTTTATGTTACTTAATAAGCATTTATTAAGCACCTATTATGTGCCAGCATTTGTAAAGCACCCATTATGTGTCAGACACTATACTAAGTGCTAGGGAGACAAAGACAAAGGTGAAAAAAATCCCTGACCTCTAGGAGCTTACATTCTAGCTAGGTAAGCCAATATGTACGCACACATATGCATACAAAAATACATTTGTGTATATATATGTGTGTGTACACATATACATATTGATATATAGAAAGTGATTTTTGGGGGAAGATAATAGTAGCTTGGGGGATCAGGAAAGACCTCATGTAGAAGGTGGCAATTGAGCTTAGCCTCAAAAGAAAATTAGGGACTTCTGAAAGGCAGGTGAGAAAGGAATATTCTAGACATGGGAGAGAGCCCATGAATTGTCAGGTATGAGGAACAGTAAGAAAGATCGTTTGGTTCAGCTGTGGTGGGTGTGGATGGGGTGTAAGGTACAGTCATTAGCCAGAGAGGCAGACTGGGACCAGGTGGTGAAGGCTTCAAATGCCAAATGGAGGAGTCGCTACCTGATCCTCAAGGTGATAGGGAGCCACCGGACCTTATTGAGGAGGGGAGTGACACGGGCAGATTTGTACTTCAGAAAGGTCATTTTGGCAGCTGTGGGATGGATGGATTGGAGATGGGGCTCAAGTCTCCTTACATCACTTTGTCCGTGGTCATATGTGGCGTTCAGTGGCAGACCCCACATTCAAACCCAGGTCTTCTGACTCTAAGATCAGTATTAAAAAAAAACCTGGCATCACAATTTCTGGAGAGGATTCTTGGTGTTAGAGAAGTGGGTGGGGAGACCCAAATTTTGAGTCCCATTAATATGACTGTGCCAGATAAGAGATGTAACAAAAGTTGTCTGGAAGCAACCAGGCTTATTTCAGAATTTTCTTCTTTGGGAAGATAAATCTATGTAAGAAATAATTTTTGGAATTTACTGGAATTTTCTGAGTAGAGAAGCCACGTGAACCTTGTTATGTATCTCACTATTAGGTAGATTTGTATATTCAAATTCTGTCCTACCTCCCCCCACCCCTACATGACAAATATTCCTAACAGAAGACAGTTATTCTACAAGGTGGATACTAGTCTTGGGACCCAAATACCAGTTAGCAAGGTTCCTACTCCCAGTTATCTCTTGACAGGCATGGGCTGGCTGGAAAATCAGTCAAGGAGGTGGGGGTTGGGGTGGAAGCATGAGTAGGACAAAGAAGGGTATTTCTTCTTCACATGCTTTCTCCTGACCCTTCAGAACACAGTCATGGGGTTTCCCTCTCTTCTTGGCTCTGATCATATACTCCAAAGTGGACTCATAGACCTGGGGTCTATGGGTTCCATCACCCTTGGAGAAAGACTCTAATGAATGAAGCATTCAGGAGGAAAAATAAAAAAGCACAGTGTATTTACTGTCAGCCCTGACAGGCCATCTGTTTTGTCTAGGGGATTGTAAGACAAAGAGGAGATCATGGTTTGGGGAGGACCTAGAGAGAGGTCAACCCGGCCATTCTTCTGCGTCTAGGAAGGACTGAGTCAGGAGGCAAGCCCCGAGTGGAGAGGGTAGGGTCATTTTACAGGAAAAGATACTGAGGCCATCCCTCTTCCCCCCCCCAAAATACTGAGGCCTAAAGAGGTCACCCACCCAAGGTCACACAGGGGACATGCCATGAGGATGGAGAACTGACTTACCGTAACTTTGGTTTTGTGTTGACAGGTGGAAAATCTGAAGGAGAAACTCATTGGCCAGGTCCAGGAAGTGAATAGACTCCGTTCAGAGCTGGTGAGCCTCCTTTGACATGTACTTGGGGAAGCTGATGTGGTGAGACCTTACATGTTCACTAACTGCTCATTATATGTCCACCTCCACTTCCATTTCCGTTGCCATCTCCAGTCCTTAAAGCACGGCTCATATAGACTAGTCCTCCCATTACATCTCTCTCTCTTTCTTTCTTTCTTTCTTCCTTTCTTTCTTTCTTTCTTTCTTTCTTTCTTTCTTTCTCTTTCTTTTTCTTTCTTTCTTTCTTTCTCTTTCTTTTTCTTTCTTTCTTTCTTTCTTTCTTTCTCTCTCTCTCTCTCTCTTTCTTTCTCTCTTCCTCTCTTTCTTTCTTTCTCTCTCTCTCTCTTTCTTTCTCTCTTCCTCTCTTTCTTTCTCTCTCTCTCTCTCTTTCTTTCTCTCTCTCTCTCTCTTTCTTTCTCTCTTCCTCTCTTTCTCTCTCTCTCTTTCTTTCTTTCTTTCTTTCTCTTCTCCTTCTTCCTTCCTCCTTCCTTCCTTCCTTCCTTCCTTCCTTCCTTCCTTCCTTCTTCCTTCCTTCCTTCCTTCCTTCCTTCCTTCTTTTCTCTCTCTCTCTCTCTCTCTCTCTCTCTCTCTCTCTCTTCTCTCTCTCTTTCTTTCTTTCTTTCATCCAGGGATAGGGAAACCTGAGGCCTTGAGGCCACATGTAGCCCTCAAGGTCCTCAAGGCCTCAGGTTCCTCACCCCTGTCTGTGGTCATAGATTCATCTACATGTATGTAGGGATAAGTATAGAAAGACACAAAAATGTACACATTCAACATAGCGGTTAGCATTTATATAACACTTTAAGGTTTGCAAAATGCTTTCAATATGTTATTATACCTGATCCTCATGACAACCGTGTGAAGGAAGGGGTATGCTATTATTAGCCCCATTTCACAGATGAGGAAACAGGCTGAGAGAGCTTGCACGTCTTGCCTAGAGTGACAGAGCTAATAAGTGTCTAAGGAGGACTACGGTGGCACACACGACTGAAGAGGCTCAGGTTGGTGGATTGCGTGAGCTCGGGAGTTCTCAGGTGTCTATGCTAAGTCTGACACAGTCTGGAGAGCCCCTGGGAGTAGGGGGCCACCTGGCTGCCGAATGCGAGGCAAACCTGCCCGGGCTAGAAATGGCCAGGTCAAAGCTTCCACATTGTTCAGCTGTGGGGCTGGGCCAGCGAGCCTCCCCTGCGCTTCTAACCCAGACAGTATGGGGAGACCCAGTCTCAAACACAACAAAGTTTCTAAGGTACACTTTGAACTGAGACCTTCCAGACTCCAGCTCTCCATCCATTACACAGCCTAAATGCTCCAAAGCATGTGTATGTGTGTCTATTTTAAGATGTATGTATTTATGTTTTATATATTATATGACAGCTAGCATTTATATAGGCTAACAAAGGACTTTAAAAATATTATCTTGTTTTATCCTCACAATGACCCTGGGAGGTAGGTGCTATTAGTATTCTCATTTTACAGATGAGGAAACTGAGGCAAACTGGGTTAAGTGACTTGCCCAGGGTCACACAGCTAGTCAATATGTGAAGCTGGATTTGAACTCAGGTCACCCTGACTCCAGGCCCAGCCCTCTCTTCACTGCACCGTGTGTGTAAGTATGTGTGCGTGTGTATGTATATGCATACATACCCACATATACATACGTATTTGTTATATAATATGTCTGTTTATATGTATGCACATAAATCTATTTAGATGTGTGTATATGCATATACATATATATGTACACACCTTTTTTTTTACCTAAGTAAATTTTACCTTTGGTACTAGAATATCACACTGCATTTATGCTTACAATGACCATGGTAGTTTTGCACATCCACAAATAGAGATACATCCTTATTATTGGCGGAAAAAAAAGGGTATTGACCTCACGGTCCAAATCCAGGAGAAGCCTTTGGATTCCTGATGTTAACCGAATGAGGGTTCACTTGAAGTGGACACAATACATTCCTAGCATGCCTCGGGGCGGGGGATGTGTTTAAAATTGCCACCCTAGGCTAGGTGTGTGACCCATTCTGTAGCAGCTAGGGGATCTTTCGACGGCTTCGCTCTCGGGAAAGAGGCTGCCGGAATTCCTGGCCGGGGTGGGAAGGGAGAGGTGTGCCCAGCGCTGTCCCAGCGGCTGGCCGGCCGGCCGTATCTCCCCTTGCCCTTGCCCCTGCCCCTGCCCATGCCCATGCCCATGCCCGTGTCTGTCCTTCCCAGGGAGGCACAGACTTGGAGAAACACCGGGATCTCCTGATGGTGGAGAATGAGCGCCTGCGGCAGGACATGAAGCGATGCGAGGCCGAGCTGCAGGAGCTGAGAGCGCGGCCTCCCCCGTGCCCGGACTGTGAGCATAGCAAGGTGCGCATGGACGGGGCAGCCTGCCAGGTGCGGCCGGGGCGCAGGCGCTGGGCGTGGCGGGAGGGGAGGCCTGGGCTGACCCCCACCCTCTCCCCCTGCACCAGGAGAGTGCCCAGCTGCGGGAGAAGCTGGCTCAGCTGCAGGTGGAGACGGAGGAGAACAAGGGCCGGCTGGCCGAGCTGGACCTGGAGGTGCAGCAGAAGACCAACCGTCTGGCTGAGGTGGAGCTGCGCCTCAAGGACTCCCTGGCCGAGAAGGCGGAGGAGGAGGAGAGGCTGAGCCGGCGCCTGCGGGACAGCCAGGAGACTATCGCCACCTTAAAGGCTCAGCCTCAGCCGATTAAGGTGAGGCGGCCGCGCCCCTGACCCGGGCTGGAGGAGGGGCTAGACTTGGGGTTTCAGCAGCGCAGGGCACTCCCAGGGGAGGGGACTCCCTCTTCCAGTGCAGGTAGCCAGTCCCAGTTGAGGAGGATCATTGTTCCAGTGTAGATGGGCCCTTTCTCTGCCACGTGGAGAGTTCCCGGGGCAGTGAGAGGCGAATGACTTGCCCAGTGGCTAACTCTGTATCCTGCAACACTCTCACGCGGGATAAGTTCAAGAAAAATGGCCTTGGGGAGGCAGAGGAAACCAACTAGTCCGACCTTTTCACTTTGCAGTTGGGGAAACTGAGTCTCAGAGAGTGTAAGGGACCTTATGACTTCTCTCTGAGATCATGTCACCCTGACTCCGTGGGCATCATGTCTATACCCAGTGATGTCCATGTTGTCTCTCCCAGTAGACTGGAAGCTCCTTGGGGGCAGACAGTGTTTTGGCTTTTCTTTGTCTTCTCGGCACTGAGCTCAGTGCCTGGCACATAGTAGGTGCTTAATCAATGGGAGCTGATTCATTGACATCTGTGTTTAGAACCTATGATCTCAGGACTCCAGAGGCAGTCCCTCCCCCTCTTCTCCCATTTTACAGATGAGAACACTAAAGCTTAGGGAGGGTGATTCGCCCAGGGTCATACAACTAGTGTGGGGGTTAAGACTTAAACCCTGGTCTTCCTGACTTGAGTCCATCATTCTTAGAGATCATATGGTCCAAGCCTGTCATTGACAGAAAAGGAAACTGAGGTCCAGAGTGATCAGATAGCTTGCTTAAGATCATAAGAGGGGTTAAGTTGCAAAGCCGAGATTGAAGCCCATGACGCTCAGGGCTGTGATTCCTAAGCCCTGGTTCACCTGGTCCCTCTGTCCTGTGTGGGGTCAAGATGCTGTAGGGAGACCTTAGGAGATACTAGGAAGGATGCTAGTCCAGCAGAGGCAGGGGGCTCTGCCAGTCTGGTCTGCATCCTTCTCTCCTCTTGCTCTTCTCTTCTCTTCTCTTCTCTTCTCTTCTCTTCTCTTCTCTCTCTCCTCCTCTCCTCTCCTCTCCTCTCCTCTCCTCTCCTCTCCTCTCCTCTCCTCTTCTCTTCTCTTCTCTTCTCTTCTCTCTCTTCTCTTCTCTTCTCTTCTCTTCTCTTCTCTTCTCTCTCTTCTTCTCTTCTCTTCTCTTCTCTCTCCTCTCCTCTCCTCTCCTCTCCTCTCCTCTCCTCTCCTCTCCTCCTCTCCTCTCCTCTCCTCTCTCTCTCTCCTCTCCCTCTCCCTCTCTTTCTCTCTCTCTGTCTCTGCCCCCCCCCCCTCCCTCTCTCTCTCTGGCTCCTGGTGAGATAATAACACTCTTCTGTGTGTGCATGTGTTCATGCACATGTGTCTCTTTTAGTACATCATCAAGACAGTGGAAGTAGATTCATCCAAGACCAAGCAGGCCCTGTGTGAAACCCAAGCCCGGAACCAGTATTTACAGGAGCAGGTGGGGATGCAGAGACAAGTGCTGAAGGAAATGGAACAGCAGCTTCAGAATGCTCAACAGACAACAGCCCAGCTCAAGGCCCAGGTACAGCCCCTGGGGAAGCTCCCACATTGTTGCATAAGCAGAATGGAGAGAAAGGGGGACAGAGAGAGACACAGAGAGAAAGAGAGAGAGAGAGACACAGGGAGAGAGAGAAAGACAGAGAGAGAGACAGAGAGAAAAAGAGAGAGAGAGACACAGGGAGAGAGAGAGAATGACAGAGAGAGAGATACCAAGAGACACAGAGAGAAAGAGAGAGAGATACACACACATACACAGGGAGACAGAGAAAGACAGAGAGAAAGAGAGAGAGACACACACAGGGAGAGAGAGAAAGACAGAGAGAAAAAGAGAGAGAGAGACACAGGGAGAGAGAGAGAATGACAGAGAGAGATACCAAGAGACACAGAGAGAAAGAGAGAGAGACACACACAGGGAGAGAGAGAAAGACAGAGAGAGAGACAGAGAGAAAAAGAGAGAGAGAGACACAGGGAGAGAGAGAGAATGACAGAGAGAGAGATACCAAGAGAGACAGAGAGAAAGAGAGAGAGAGATACACAGGGAGAGAGAGAATGACAGAGAGAGAGATACCAAGAGAGACAGAGAGAAAGAGAGAGAGAGATACACAGGGAGAGAGAGAAAGACAGAGAGATACTGAGAGAGACAGAGAGAGACACACACACACAGAGAAAGACAGAGAGAGAGAGATACCGAGTGAGACAGAAAGAGAGAGATACTGAGAGAGACAGAGAGAAGGAGAGAGAGACACACACACAGGGAGAGAGAGACAGAGAGAGAGATACCGAGAGAGGCAGAGAGAAGGAGAAAGAGAGAGAAATTAGTTTGTTCAATAAACACTTATTAAATGCCTGCTGTATGCAGAAGCCTGCATTGGATACTGGGAGGGATGTGAAAAGCTTCAATAAGACATAACATTTGCCCTCAGGGAGTTTCCCCTCTAGTAAAGGGGTAAGAGGCAAGCACACAAGGAGCCCTGATTTTGTCAGTGTCTGCAGCCCTTCTGTGAAGGCAGATAGCAGCCCTTTAGTGGGTGCCTTAGGGGATGAACTTGGTGAGTTTCCATAGCCAGAATTTCTCCCCCAGTGGCCAGCCCGGATTGATGAGCCTTCCTGGGTGTAGCCTCCCAGCTGTTCCCTGAACAAGGCCCTCCATCTCTTGGCCCCAGGCATTCTCTCTGGCTGGCCCCCATTCCTGGAACACTCCCCGTCCTCCACTCCGACTACTGACATCTCCTGCTTCCTTGACGTCCCAACTAAAACCTCGTCTTTTACTGGAAGCCTTCTCTGACCCCTCTTATTTCTGGTGCCTTCCCTCTGTTAATTGTCTCCTGCTCCTCCTGCACGTAGCTTGTTTGTACCTGCCGGTTTGCATGTTCTTCCTCCTGTTAGATGGTGAGCTCCTTGAGGCAGGGCCATCTGTGCCCCTTTTTGTAGCTTTAGCGCTTAGCTCAGTGCTTGGCACAGAGTAGGTGCTTTTATTTATTACTACTGATTAATTGATAGGTAGGCTTGTCCTCGAATGGCAGACGCGTTCAATGGCCAGGCTGTCCTCGAAGCCTTTCCAACCTGGCAGGACCTTTGAATCCTTGCACGGCCTTTGGGAATCCAAGGTCTCCTCCTTTCCATGGCAAGGCCTCAGGGTAGCATGATAGTATAAGTCAAGGGCTTCATTAATATCCGTGCAATGAGGAGAGAACTCAAGGAAAGTCCATCAGCCAGTCAACAGGCATTTATTCACCACTCGCTTTGGTGCTCAGCACTGAGGATGCAAAGACAGGCAAAATCCCTATTCTTGCCTTCAGGGAGCTCCCATTCTAATCGTGTGCAGAGAACAAGGCACATATAAGAATGCATAGAGCGATAGAGAAGGCACCAGCAGCTTTGAGGATTAGGGAGAGCTTTCTACAGAAGATAAGGGTTAAGCTGGGTCTTGAAGGCAGAGATGAGGAGGGACAGCATTTCAGGTGTGGGGCACAGCCCAGGGACGGGAATGTTCTGAGGAAAAACAGCAAGTATGACTAGATGGATTAATAAGTATTTACCCGCTGACTGGTTGCAGAATTTAAGAAGACTAGAAAGGTAGGAAGGGGCCAGGCTGTGAAGTGCTTTGCGTGCCACTCAGCAGGTGACCCTCTCAGTTCCATAAGCTTGACTGAAGATTCACTGTGTGCTTTGGAATCAATGCTTATCGATTAGCTGGTTGCCAATCACTTCTGAGTTTCAGAGTTCTGGGCAGCTGCACCATGCAGAGAATCATCGAACCACAGTTTCTTGGACACAGTAGGCATTCAATAAATGTTTGATAAATGAATGAATGAATGTTGAATTGACTTATAGGATCAGAGTCAGATCTTTGAGACCTAGAGAGGGGTAGGGGTCAAAGCCGACACTAGAAAACAGACCCTCTGCCTCTACTCCCTGACTGGTCAGGACTTTTGCTGTCACCTGCAGTGGGGGTGTAGGGGGGTGGGGGTTGATGCGCCTTGTCTGGAGGGCGTCTTTGGCCAGGCCATCACAGGCCGCCCAGGAATGCAGGTTTTCCATGCTTTCTTCTCCCAGATCATGATGTATGAGTCGGAGTTGGAGCGGGCTCACGGGCAGATGCTGGAGGAGATGCAGACCATGGAAGAGGATAAGAACCGGGCCATTGAGGAAGCTTTTGCCAGGGCCCAAGTAGAAATGAAGGCTGTACATGAAAACCTGGCAGGTGAGAGGGGGAGGGGAGCCCTTCTCTCCTGCCTCTGTCCCCTCCCCCCAGATTGGCTGGGCCTCACTTTCTGGTGAGGTCTACCCTGCCTTTGGGCATTGCCAAAAGCGTTTGCTGTCCCTGGTAGAAATCACTCACTTTGCGTTTCCAGGTGTCAGGACCAATCTCCTGACTTTGCAGCCCGCCCTTCGGACCCTCACCAATGACTACAATGGCCTGAAGAGGCAGGTTCGAGATTTCCCTCTCCTGCTGCAGGAAGCCCTGAGGAGTGCCAGAGCAGAGGTGGGCATTATGAAGGGGCCACACCAAAGACATGATTCCCGTCCTCACCCCCAAGCTGGACCCCAGCCTTTCTTAGTGGGCTTAGAGGCCTCTTGGCCATCTCCTTCTGAATCTTGCATCTGGATTTCTTCCAGCCACTTCCTTTTATAGAGGAGAAAACAGTCCAAGAGGGGGGCAAGTGACTTGTCCAGGGACACTCAGCAAATTAATGGTAGAGCCTAGACGAGTCCCAACCCAGTGCTCTGTCTGTTATGGCCCAAGCTTCAGGCACCAGAGGGTTGTGGACCGTCGTTCTGGGTAGGGAGAAAGGAAAGCCCCACCAGGGCTCTGGGTTCTCATACCGTGCTGGGGGAGAAGAGAAGGACTGCTTAGAAGAGAAGGCCCTCGTGGTCACCTCCTCGGTCTTCCTTCCGTCAGATTGGCCAAGCCATAGAAGAGGTGAACAGCACAAACCGAGAACTGCTGAGGAAATACCGCCGGGAACTCCAGCTCCGCAAAAAGTGTCACAACGAGCTAGTGAGGCTGAAAGGTGAGGAAGAAAGGAGGAGGGTAGGGTTGGGCTGGGGTTTGGGGGCAAGCAGAGTGGGAGGGAGGAGAATGGTAGAGCCATCAGGGTTCACATGAGAATCGGTGCTACAGTTCTGGGTCAGGGGGCATGTTGAGTGAGAGGAAAACATTTTCAGAAAGTTTCTGAAATTGAATGAATGTTACCTTTCAGCAGTGGAGTAGGACCTTTGGTCTCCCAGGATCAACTGGGATAATATTTGTAAAATACTTAGCTGCTCCTGGCACCTAGAAGGTGTTTAATAAATGCTTATTCTTACCCTTAGGAATGGGCTGGGATGGCTGCGGTTGCCTCTGTCCTTTGTCAAACATTGTTCTGAGACAATCTTTCTTCTACTTTGTATTAGCCTCCTAATTATATAAGCTCCCCCGAGGGCAGGGACCTGTTTTGTTTATGCTTTTCTTTGTAACCTCAGCACTTAGCACTGCACCTGTCATATAGTAAGCATTTAATAAAAGTGATTAATAATATTTTTAATATTTGTTTTTTATTTGTTTTTTTAAATTTTTTTTTTTATTTTTAGGCAATTGGGGTCACTTGCCCAGGGTCACACAGCTAGTAAGTGTCAAGTGTTTGGTCTGAGGCTGGATTTGAACTCAGGTCCTCCTGACTTCAGGGCGGGTGCTCTATTCACTGCACCACCTTACTGCCCCATAATAATTTTTTAAAAATGCATTTTTATTGATTTTGTTAAATGTTTCTCAATTTCATGTACATTTTTTTATTTCATTAAATTTTTATATGTTTCAATATTTATTTTTATTTTACTAAATATTCCCCACTCATGTATAATTTTTTTTTTTAACATTTATTTATTTTAAACTTTGAGTTCTAAATTCTCTTCCTCCCTTCAACCCCTCTGGCCCTTGAGACGCAAGCAATATGGCGTTATTATACATGTGAAGTCATGCAAAGCATATTGTCATGTAGCAAAAGACCTCCCTGCCCCCAGTTGAAGAAAGTGAAAAAAAACATACTTCAGTCTGCACTCAGCATTCATCAGTTTGCTTTCTGGGGGTGGATAGTGTTTTTCATCACGGGTCCTTTCAAATTGTCTTGTATCATTATATGGATCAGAGTCGTACTTAATAATTTTTGAGATTTAACTGGTCTCAGAAACCTTGTTGGAGGTCGTTTCTGTATTTTCTGCCAACCATCATGGACCCTAAAGTTTTAGTGACAGTAATAACCTGTTCTTGCCGCTCCTAATAAAATTCCTTCCTGGCCGCTTTGCTTAAAGTAAGAAAGACTTGAGTTCGAATCCAGCCTCAGGTACTTAATTAGCTGTGTGACCCTGGGCAAGTCACTTAACCACTATCTGCCTCAGATTTCTCAACTGTAAGACAAGAATAGTAATGGCACCTAATGCCCAGGGTTGTCGTGAGCATCAAATGTGATGATATCTGTGAAGTGCTCGGTATGGTACCTGGGGCATAGTAGGCTCCTAATAAATGCGTGGTCTCTTCCTACCTTGTGTTACACAAAGCCTCTATTACTCATAACTTTATTATCATGTATTATGTATTATATGTACCCCCTAGTGGCAAAAAAAGAGAAAAAAACCTTGTAGGCCGTATGCATGATCCAGCAAAGTGTTTCTTGAGCTGAGTAAATATTTGTTGAAGTAGGATTGTGAGAATTTTTCGCAGGATTGCAATTTCCAGTTTGCACTCATCTTTCTTTTTAACTTTTCTTCTTTGCACTCCATAATGAAGGAAACATCCGTGTGATTGGTCGGGTCCGGCCCATCACCAAAGAGGACGGGGACGGGCCTGAGGCTAGCAATGCAGTGACCTTTGACTCCGACGATGATGCTGTCATCCACCTGCTACATAAGGGAAAGCCTGTGTCTTTCGAGCTGGATAAGGTGTTTCCTCCACATGCAACCCAACAAGATGTGAGTGATATGCCCTTTCGTCAGAGAAAGCCAATTAAAAAGCATTTATTAGCGCCTATTATGCGTGGGGGCCCTGTGCTAAGTAATGACAATGTAAAGAAAGGGGGAAAAAAAGTGGTCCCTGCCTTCAGGGAGCTTACAGTCTAATGGGGGAGTATAGACCAATATATTGCAAATAACTTGGTCTTTACAAGGTATACATACACAGTAGATGGAAGGCAATTGCAAAGGGACAGGCATTAGCAGCTGGGGGAGCAGGGAAAAGAGAGGCCATGGCTGTGACTGGCATCTCTTCTGCCAACCCCTCTTCCCTCTAGATTTGGAGAAGAGACAAAAATCACGCGGGAGGTAGAGTCTGTGGGGATCTAGACACATCACCTCCAGGCTCCAATGGGAAGGATTCCTCCGGCAAGTCCAGTGACTTGTTGAAGGGCAAAACTAAGGCATCTTATCTTTGTGTGTCTAACATACCGAGTCTGTGAGCTAAGGAATCACATCACAGAGGATTGGACCCTTGATACCATCAAATACCTCGACCTCCTTTGCACTCCACACCTTTACATCCCCTGTAGAGCCCTGCATTAAGCCAGCTAGCCTTCTGTTGTTGGTGCTAATGACACCACGGGATACGAGAGAGATCACCTGGTCTGGCCCCTTCTTATTACAAATGGGAAGACTGAGGTCTATGGAGGTCAGGTGAATTGTCACCTCATGTAATAATAATGATAATGATAATAATAGTAGTAATAGCATTTATGTAGCAGCTACTGAGTGCCAGGCATGGTGCTGAGCATTTCACAATTACCTCATTTGATTTTCACGACAACCCCTCAAGGTAGATACTATTATTACCCCCATTTTACAGATGAGGAAACTGAGGCAGAGATTAAATGACTCACCTAAGGTCATATAATGATTAGGTGTCTGAAGCCAGATTTGAACTGTTAGTGGAGATAATCATAGCACTTACCTCTCAGGGTGGTTCTAAGGCTCAAATGAGATAATATCTGTAAAATGCTTAGCATAGTACCTGGCAAACAGTAGGTGCTATATAAATGCTTATTCCCTTCCCTTTCCCAGTACAAAGTGTGAGGAAGGAGTTAGGATAAATGAAATGAAGCACTTTTAATTTCATGAGTTTAGTAACATCACTTTCATTCAACAATAAGAAATGTATTATTATTCATCTATTCGACTATATAATGATCTGCTTGTTATTAAATAAATGCATCGTTATCCATCTATTCAACTACATAATGATGTTATTAATGAAGAAAGTTCTATTTAGGAGGGCCCTGTTCATTTATTCGTTCAGTAATAACAGTACATTGCTGTATTTTGTTAATAAAGAACTTATTATTTTGGTGGGTTGATTGGCTGAATGAATGAATGAATGAGTGAATGAATGGAACTTTCCCAGAAGTCTCTCCTACACTTGTGAAATAAACCCATTCAGCTCCTAGACATCTTGCATGTGAGCCAGCCTCAACTCTCTTCTCCTTGCTGATGGGGACATTATTTGCAGAAGAGAAGACAAACTGCCTCCCTACAAGCCAGGCGCCTGACTCACCTTCCCTCTCCTCTCCCGTCCTCCTTGGCAGGTGTTCCAAGAAGTCCAGGCATTGATCACGTCATGCATTGATGGCTACAATGTCTGCATTTTTGCCTATGGACAAACAGGTGCTGGCAAGACATACACAATGGAGGTAGGCTCCTGGAGGACTTCCTCGTATGCAGGCTCTGGCTTCTGGTCTACGGCCGCCCTGTTGGGTGTTTTCTCAGTGATGTCCAGAGGGAGATTGGGATGCTTGGCTTACAAGAGTCAGAATTCAGACATTCACTATTAAAGGACCTCTGGGGTCAGTGGCCAACATTTAAAAAGACAAATTCTTTATAATTCACCATTTGGAATTAACTCTAAGAGGAATAGGACTGGGACTTCAATCCAGTCTTAGTAAGTAAAATGATCTTGATATCTGAATGGACCACAAGCACAACAGATGTCAGTAGTATAACAGGATAGTCCGCAGAGCTCAGATGATTTTAGGCTGCGTGAATAAAGATAGAGTGTCCAGAGTGAGGAAGGGAATATGTAACCATCTTCCTCCTTCTTGATGCGACCACACCTACAGCAGTGTATACAGTTCAGAGCACTGCCATTTAGGAAGGATGTAGACTGTATTGTAGCCAGGGTAGAGAGACCAAGACATCAAGGGTACTAGAGGCTGTGCCATCCAAGGATTTGTCAAATGAATCTAGCACATGTAGCTTGGAGAATAAAAAAGTGCTTTATTTTTTTAAAATTTTTTTTTTATTTTTAGGCAATTGGGGTTAAGTGACTTGCCCAGGGTCACACAGCTAGTAAGTGTCAAGTGTTTTGGTCTGAGGCTGGATTTGAACTCAGGTCCTCCTGACTTTGGGACCGGTGCTCTATCCACTGTGCCACCTAGCTGCCCCTAAAAAAAGTGCTTTAAATCATAGATTATAGTATCCTTGATTTTTGGAGCTGGAAGAGAATTTAGAAATCATTTAACCTCACCCTTTCCTTTGGCAGATGAGGAAACTGAGTCTCAGAAAAGTTAAACACTTGCTTAAGGTCACACGATCTGACTCCTTCTGTTTTGCACCATACCATGGAACTGGGCTTTCCCTCAGAGGTCCTCAAATCTAGGCCCCCCCCATTCCCTCCTCCCACTCCATTTAGGATTAGAAGAAAATTAGGAACTCAAAGGGGGAAGACATCAGCCCGCGTTCCCATGGGGTGGTCTAGAAAGTCTAGAAGAGCCGGCTTCAGAGACTGATTGACAGTTCACTAAACACTTATTATGCATCTACTGTATTCAAGGCATTGTGCTAGGTCTCGTGTGTAGTAGGAGCCAGGCCCCACCATGATCTGGGAGGCTGATAGTACAAATAACACTCTCATGATGTAGGATCCTTTGAAAGATGACTTGACATAGCATAAATGGGAAGCAGAGGGTCAAACCATATGCCCCTTGTGACTGAAAGGAGGCAGCCAGGCCTTGGTCAGGGGACACTGGGGAAGTAAGTGCCTGTCCCATTGGCCATGCCACAAAGTGCCAGTCCTTGCCTTTGAGGGAATGATGCAGCCATGCAAGGTTGTATTTCTGAAAGCTAGCACAGCCCTGGCCATCTCCATAGGAACAAATACGGCTGTCTACTGACTGGGGGATTGATTGGAATCTCCCTAAGACACTGGGCCTCTGTCTGGGCTCCGTGGTCCAAGGAGGAGGTAGGTGGAGATTCACAATGGAGAAGATGTCCAAAGCTTTGGGGGGTCCAGAGCTCATGAGAGAAGGCCAGAGGTTTTAGGATCATTGGGTCTGAGAAGAGAAGAGTGAGGGGGAATGACGATCCTGAATGTATAAAGGGCTGTCTGCCTGTCCTCCCTTCCGAAGAGCCCTGAATCCAACGGGAGCGAGCAGCATGAGAGATTTAGGTTAGCGATAAGGAAGGACTTCCTGACAATGAAGAGAGAAAGAATGAAACCCATCCCTTGGGCTTATTTAACTTTTTTTAAGTGTTCATAGTTGTAGAGCGGTGCTTTCAGCTCTTGTGGGTGAGAGGAGGAGAGTGGGTGGGTGGGAGGAGGAGTGGCAGCTGGCCCAGGAGGAGGGCCTTGAGATCTGGGGCAAGAGAAGCAGAAACAGGCCTTTCCGGATGAAGCAGTTTCACAGAAACTTGACCTGGGCCCGGAAGGTTTAGAAGCACGAGTTTGGCACACAGCAAGTGCTTCATAAATGCGTTTTTGCTCGTTTATTCATGCTCGTGGGCTCCGTCTCCCCCCTCCCCACAAACTGCCTCCATTCTTGCTCTGTGATTCGGTGGGGAGCGTGCCAGGCTGAATCAAGGCATGGGAAGAGAGCACAGAGGTGAGCAAATCTCTCTCCTCTTCATTGCACTCCAGCGAAGAGGCCCTCCAAAGCACCAGCTCTGTGCAAGGCCACCCTGTGGGGGAGAGAAGGAGGATATGGTCCCTGCCTTCAGAGAGTTTTATGTCCAATTGAAAGGGCAGAACTCACACAGAGAAAACCAAAGAACAGTAATGTCTTCTGCTGCTGCTCTGGCCCTCTGGATTCAGACTCAGAAGAGCTGGGCTTCGATCTCATCTCTGCCTCTTACCATCTGTATGAGCTTGGGCAAGTCTCTGGGGCCTCAGTTTCTGCTCTGTGAAATGAGAGGATTGGCCTAGATCATCCCCCAGATCCCATTCCACTCTGAATTTGCAACCAAGCATTGCTGATTGACTCAGTTCAGTTCACTAAACATTTTTTATGCACCTACTGTATGCAAGATATTGTATTAGGCCTTTTGAATAGCTGCTGGGCCCCCAAGGTACACTGTACTCAAAAATACACGGTTAGTACTCACCTGTCCACTTGTTATTCATTGGTTCTCTAATTGTTTTGTGTCTCTAATTTGTCTTGGGTTTTCAGGTAGATGCCAAGATCCTTAAGCACAGGGAGTTCCTCCTGTGCTGGTTTAATCCCTCAGAAGATATCTTAGCACAGGGAAAAGGCATATAGAAGATGCCTGATAAATATTTGTTGATTGATTGATTGAATACAAGGCAGTATGTCATTAAGTGCTCAGCTGTGTTGTACAAACAGTAATTGCCCTAGGAAGGCAGAAATGAGAGTCAGAGAAGGCTCCCCAGAGGATGTAGGGCTTGTATTAGGCCTTTAAGGGTGGCCAGGGCTTGACTGGGTGTAGAAGAGGGGCAACAGAGGGCATTCTGGATGAGCAAAAACATGGCGGTGGGAATGAGAATGGCATTTTGTAGGAGAGGAAGAATTGTAAGATCATGGACTTAGACCCAGAAAGGACCTTAGAGATATCTAGGCCAACCCTTTCATTTTCCAGAGAAGAAACTGAGGCATGGAAAGGCTAAGTGGCTTCCCTGGGGTCTCATAGGTAGTGAGTGACAGAGGGGGAGGATTTGAGTCTGGCTGTCCTGAATTCTGATTTTAGAGCAGAGAATCTGTGTTAAGGATGAGCTTGGGTCAGTACAGTTAGTGGAAAGCCTTGAATGCCAGTCAGAAGATTTGGATTTGATCAAATTTCTACTTCAATGGTCTGTGCCTGAGCTTAATTAAGGTGGAGAAATCTCATCTGGGGAGCTTCCCTTTCTCCCTCCAGGGAACGATTGAAAACCCGGGGATCAATCAGCGGGCCCTTCAGCTGCTCTTCTCCGAGGTGCAGGAGAAGGCATCAGATTGGGAGTACACCATCACGGTCAGCGTGGCAGAGATTTACAACGAAGCCCTCAGGTAGTGGGGCATGGTGGGAACGGGAGGGAAGGCCTCAGTGCCCCGCACACCTCCTCTGGGATGGATAGCCCTCTTGCAGTGGAGAGCGGGAGCAGCGAGGGAAGAAGAGCTGGGCTGGATACAAGGAAGAGACTTCTACCAGATGGCGCTTTCCAGGGGGAAAATAGGGGAGAGGCAGAGGTCTGTCCCAGAGGTGTTCGGGTGGGAGCCAGGTGACCACTTGTCAGAGATGCTGGGAAGGGTATGTCTGTCCGGGTGCCAGTTGGATTAAATGGCCACTGAAGGCCCTTTTGGCTCTGAGATTCCATGATCAGTGTGGTTTTTAGGGTCTGCTCTGTGGCCGTCAGTACAGAAAGAATGTGAGGCAGGTATGTTAGGAGCCCTGAGCTGACATGGGAATTCTAAAGGAAACAATCGGGGTCTTAGATAGCTCTTGTTTCCTTGGGCCTTCTCATTCCCTGGGTCTTAAAGAGGATACTACCAGCCATGTGACCCTGGACAAGTCATTTAACCACTCTTTGCCTCCATTTTCTCATCTGTAAAATGGGGATGATAGCAGTACCAACCTCACAGGGTTCTCATCAGGATGAAATGAAAATTCGTAATGTACTTGCAAACCTTAAAATTCTAGAACTCCTAATGCTCCTGTTTGTTGGTTCAGAATGCCCTGAGCTTTCTGAAATGTCTTACAGTCCTTTGCCTGGCTCTCCTTTGGCGCTGTCCCTCCTATTTCACCTTGTATCATTGTCTCTTATCCTCCTTTATTAGACTGTAAGACCCTTGAGGGTAGGGACAGGGTCATTGTTTCATCGCAGTGTCCCCCATGCCCCGCACTGTGTCTTGCCTGGATCAGGACTTAATAAATGCTTTTTGAGTTGGGTGGTAGGTGAAGAGACAAACCCTCCTAGGCTTTAATTGGGTGAACGGGGAAGCCTATAGCTGAATGTTGGGGGGTTGGGGTGCTTTCAGACCCAGCTTCTCTGAGAAGAGCCCCAGGGACTTTGACCTTGGTGGAACAAAACTGCCCCTCTCGGGACTGTGATGTCAATCTTTGTCCGGCCAATGGGGTAGTAAGATGGGGGTGAGGAGGAGGGTCCCCTAGGACCTAGACTCCAAACTCTGGTAGGGGTCTCTAGTTCCTCTGAAGCCTTGCTCAGACTCTCCCTCCAGCACACTGGAGTCAAGAATGACCAACACCCAATAGGGGCAGTGAAGGCCAGAAATTCCTGCTTTAGACAATAAGTCAGAGGTTGGTCTGTAATTCTGGTTTTTGAAAAATGAATTGAGTTCACGCTTCTTCAGCTGAGGCGGCTCACGGTGGAGCTGGGCCCTGACCGGCCTTGCTCCTCACGCCTCCAGGGACTTGCTGGGAAAGGAGCCACAGGAGAAGCTGGAGATTAAGCTGTGTCCCGACGGCAGTGGCCAGCTGTACGTGCCAGGGCTGACGGAGTTCAAAGTGCAGAGCGTGGAAGACATCAACAGGGTCTGTAGGGACATAGGAATGGGAAGCCCCATTCTCTCACTGGGGATTGGACTCAGGGGAGGACCTTTGTCCTGGGATGGAAACTCCAGCTTCACTGGCCAAGTCCTAGGGACAGACTTTGAATTCAGTTGTTTCTCCCCAGACTGGGAGGGTCAGTCAGTCAGTCAGTGATGTGCATTTATTAAGCACCTACTGTATGCCAGGCACCATGCTAGGTGCTGGGAATACAAAGAAAGGCGACAGACAGTCCCAGCTCTTAAGGAGCTCCCAGTCTGATGGGAAAAGACAACTGTTAAACAGCTACGTGCGGGAGAGCTATAAACAAAATAAACTAGAGATAATCAACAGAGGGAAAGGGTGTGTGAAGGCACATGAGCTGGTGCTCCTCAGTCAGGCCCATACCAGAGGCGGACGGGCATTAGGTGCATTTTATTAATTAATTAATGAGTATTTAAAGTGGGAAGACCCAGGTTGCAACCTTGCCTCTGATACTTAGTTACCTGGGACGGTGGTCCTTCACTTCCCCGTGTGTCCTGGAGGCAGTCACCTTCCCTCTCTGGCCTCAGTTTCCCTGCCTGTAAATCAGAGGCTGATACTAGCTGTCCTATAATGTCCTTCCCAGCTAGCCAGCTTTGTTAAAGTCTTCAAAGAGGGGCAGAGAAACTTGGCTTCCTTCCTCCGTAGGAGAGAGGGAGAACAGAGGAAGCCCAGAGAGCATTGGAACCCCAGTGAATTGTATCTGCCCCTTGACTACAAACTGGCTCATGGACCATCAGCTTCCTCTTGGGAAATTAACTCATTAGCACGGTAGCTTCAGAGATGGAGCCCGTGGCTTAGGAGCGGTCCCAGGGAAAGGAGCCTTCCTTCCCCTTCGCTCTCGTCCCTTTTCTCTGGAACACACACGATGTATCATTTAGGGGGAAGGAGTCGTGGTGTGTATCCCTGAGAAGAGGGATGGGAGTGAAGGAGTAAGAAGGAATCTTTGTTAACCACATCAAGCCTCCTGCGTTGGGTGTCAGAGTCACTTGGTGACACCCTACCCGGAAGGCCACAGAACCAATGCATAGCAGCCTTTTGCTTCTGTCCCTTTTCAGGTATTTGAGTTTGGCCATACCAACCGGACCACTGAATTCACCAACCTCAACGAGCACAGCTCTCGGTCCCACGCCCTTTTAATCGTCACCGTCCGGGGCACTGACTATAGCACGGGGCTTCGGACCACTGGTGAGTATGCCGGATGGAGGCAGGGGCAGGGAGGATTGGAGGCAGGGGGAGAGGAGAGTGGAGAGATTGAAGGCGTGAACCCCAGGGGAAAAGGGGACCAGCGGAGGCCCGGGGGAAATGGGTGCCGAGAATTCTGTCGGGAGACCTATGTGGGAATAGGGAAGCAGGTAACTTGGTGGCACTTTCCTGGCTTCATACCATGATCAATTCACTGCCCCTACAGAACACAAAGCCAAGCTGAGGATGGGGAGTTTTGACACCAGAGGATTTATTTCCTTCTCTCTGGGACTCTGCTTACCTCACCTTTGAGTTAGGGAGTAGCTGGCCTGGTCAGTGTCTGGGCTGTTCCTGCTGTCCCTCAGTTATGCCTTTGGGAATGTTGACTGCTGGGGCCCAAGTAACCCGGTGATCCCAGTTCCAAAAATGAACCTGAAATTGGGGCTCCTGGGAGTTTTCTTCTGCAGATTTGCAAGGGAACGTAGTGCAGAATAACAGATCGTGTTCAGTCCAGCTCAAGTTTCTGGTCTCTATCTAGTGCCTTCAGATAACAAGGGTGGCTAGGCCATGACCTACCTTGCCCATGGGCTGATTTGTAGATCAGTCTAGTTGTGGGGTCTGCAATCCTCATCTGACCTTCTTCTGCAGGGAAGCTAAACCTAGTGGACCTGGCTGGGTCAGAACGTGTGGGCAAGTCTGGGGCCGAGGGCAGTCGGCTCCGCGAGGCCCAGTACATCAACAAGTCTCTGTCGGCCCTGGGAGACGTGATCTCTGCTCTTCGGTCCCGCCAGGGCCACGTGCCATTCCGTAACTCCAAACTCACCTACCTACTCCAGGACTCCCTCAGTGGGGACAGCAAAACCCTCATGCTGGTGCAGGTGAGACCCAGTGGGAGAGGCCGGGAGACACAGAGAACAGGGCTGTCCACTGGTCCAGCGTAAGCAAGGGTGTGGTTGGGAAAAACCCAACAGCTCTGCCCTGCCTGCCTCACCCGTGGGTAGCAATTAGAGGCTCCTCCCTTCTGTGACGGAGATGCTTCCTGAGGCTTCGGGCACAGGAAGCAAGATTAACCAAGTGTACACAGACCGAATGAATCTCCTCTGGGTGCCTTGGGGATGTGCTTTCTATACCTGGTTTATTCTTGGAGGCAGAGGACACTCATAAGTTGTCAGATTTAGAACTAGAGACTCTTTAGACCACAGTTTCTTAACCTGGGGTCCATAGACCCCCCCCAAAAGGTCCATGAATATGTTTTGGGGGTCTATGATCTTAGATGGGAAAAAAATTACACCATTATTTTCATATAATTGGTTTCCTTTGTAATCCTATGTATTTTTTGTATTTAAAACCATGGTTCTGAGAAGGGGTCTGTAGGCGTCATCACTGCCCAGACACAGGAGAAGTTAAGAACCCCTGCTCTGGTCTGACCCCCACATTTTCCAGCTCTCCCTCCTGCAGAGTGGGGAGACGCCGAGCCATTATGGAATGAACAGCTCTTCAGATCTTCTTTACTGTGGGTTACCAGGGTCGCTGGGGGTCCGGTCCACAGTGTTTCTTTTTCTGTTGGCACATCATGGTTGTCCTCTGTGATGTCATCTCCAAAGGTTGGGGGTGGGCCATCAAGCATATGTCCCTGAACAGACCATTTGAGATCTCCCATGTAATAGTTCATCTCCACTGGGGGTTCTTTCTTTTTTTTTTTTTAGGCAATTGGGATTAAATGACTTGCCCAGGGTCACACAGCTAGTAAGTGTCAAGTGTCTGAGGCCAGATTTGAACTCAGTTCCTCCTGACTTCGCAGCAGGTGCTTTATCCACTGCGCCACCTAGCTGCCCCCTACTTTGGGGGGTTCTTAACCTTTTTTTGTGTGTCATGGATTCTTTTGGCAACAGTCTAGAGAAGCCTCTTGACAGTTCTCAGAATCATATTTGTATTTTATTTTTAAAGTTATATTTTAATTTTTTTCATTAAATATTTCCCAATTACATTAAACATTTTTAAACATCAGTTTTTTACAATTTTGAGTTCCAAATTCTCTTTTTCCCTCTAGCCTCTCCCCTACCATTGAGAAGGCAAGCAATATATCAATTATACATGTGAAGTCATGCAAACATTTTTCCATGTTAGCCATGTTATAAAAGAAAACACATTTAAAAAGCCCCCCGCCAAAAATAAAGGAGGTGAAAAACGTATGCTTCAATCTGCACGCAGAGCTTGTCAGTTCTTTCTCTGCATGGTAATAGCATTGTTCATCGTGGGTCCTTTGGAATTGTCTTCAGTCATTGGCTTGATCAGAGTAGCTGCGTCTTTCACAGTTGATCATTGTACAATATTGTTGTTACTGTGTACAATGTCCTCCTGGTTCTGCTCACTTCATTTGGCATCAGTTCACATAAATCTTCCCAGTTTTTTTCTGAAACCATCCTGCTTGTCATTTCTTACAGCACAATAGAATCATGCTTTTAAATGCATAAAATCAAATACATAGGATTGCAAAAGAAACTAATCACATTAAAATAGTTATCCAAATATTTTTAACAAGCCAAGTTCAGGGACCCCCAGGTGAAGAACTCCTGATCTGAACCTCTTTTCAGTTTTTTTTTTCTCTGTGCACCTATTCTATTATTTTACTACATCTTGGTTTGTGTCTCTGCTGCTCATGGCTGCTCCCTGGCCCCACTTCCTAAAATCCCTGCAAGCCCATGCCCTGGTGCCTGTTCTCTCTTGGGAATGTTGAATAGGGGATCCATGGTCAGGGACAGGTTGGCCTCTGAGATCCTTCCAAGCTGTGATTATCTGCTGGCCACTAACCATGGCAGTGTTAGAGGGAGTCCCAGAAGATGTGGCATCACTCAGTTAGAGGCTTCCTGCTTCTTTCTAAGCTCTGAGCTTTCCTTAACGAGGTGCAAGGTGTGCCCCCCTTTTTTTTATGAGCTCTAGGGCACAGGAGGTTTCCTTTTGAGAATGGATAGATATCAGCTGACCCAGAGAGCTGTTCATCAGATACTTGTCCCCAACAAGTATCTCCAAACCAAAAAGATGGTATAGTGGTCCCAGGGGCAGCATTTCTCTCATTTAGAAAAGCCCCCTTCTCATCTCCAAGCTTGGTGCAGAGGTAGGGGAGTCTGCCCAAAGCAGAGGGGGGGTCCTGTAAGCTTGATCTTGATACCAAGGAGCACAGCCATGATGACTCAAGAGCTCCATTTAGAGAAAGGGGACTGACCCATGGGGACACTGCTTGGTCTTTGCATGATGGCATTTCAAGATCATTGGTTTCCGATGTTATTTTTAAAAAGCATGATTGTGAGAAGGGGCCACCAGGCTTCATCAACTAGAGGAGTCCGTGATACAAAACAAAGGTGAAGAAACTCTGGGCTCTAGGGTTCAGGGAGCTGGGCTTCTTTGCCCTCTTGGGTCAGCCTGAGAGATTCAGCCAGGAAACAGAGTCCACGGGGTAAGGCTGGCCCATCCCCATGCCTCCACAATCATTGGCCAGAGCCGGGCACAGGGTGCTGATGGCAGCATCTATTGGGCCCAAGGGCCTGAGATGCCCACAGGCGATATGAGGAAAGCCAGCTGCACTAGGCCCTTGCCTGCCCTTCCCAAGGCTGCCTGCTGTCCCTGCAGGGGAAGTTATTCAGTTAAGTCAGGGAGGAATTTCTCCTGCCCTTGCTTCAGTAAAAAACCCCGTAATAAAAAGTCTCCCTTTCAGCCACCAATCTGGTTATGCTGCTGTTACCCAGCCTAATTTTTAAAAAATTATTTATTATTATTATTATTATTATTTTTTACCCAGCCTAATTTGGATAATACTTTGGAGCTGGAAAACTGGAATCCATAAATGCACCTCATAGATTTATCAATGACATAACAGATTTAGAGCTGGAAAAGATCTCGGAGGCCCTTTCATCCAATGCCCTCATTTTACTGATGAGGAAAGTGAGGCCCAGAAAAGTTAACCAGGGTCACATAGCTAAGTGTCTGGGGCAGGATTTTAACACAGGTCTTCCTCACTCGAAGCTCCGTTCGGCCCTCAAGCTATCTCGCCACCTAGTTGTCTCAGACTTTGGGGCAGAAACCACATCAGGATGAAGATGGGGTCAGGATCGTTTGGGAGTGAAAGAGGCTTAATTAATTTTCATGCTGAAAAGGTGCTATATATAATTAATTAATTTGATAGTACTTAATTTCATTATTTTAGTCAACATGCATTTATTTAGCATCTACTGTGTGCCAGGCACTGTGCTAAGCTCTGGGGATACAAAAAAAGGCAAAAGACAGTCCCTGCCCTCAAGGAGCTCAGTCTAATGGGGGAAATAACCAGCAAACAAAGCATTGGCCAGAGACCTTTATCGTTCCCAAAACTCTTCCGTATCTATTTTCTCATATGCTCTTTGCCCTGGCCTCCAGACATTAAAGTCTCTATTTTGCTTCTTGGGGACTCAGAGGGGAAGTGACTTGTCTAAGGTCACCAAGCGGACACCAGAGCCCAGGACTCCTGAGGACTCTCAGACCCGGGGCTTTCTTCATTGTACCCACTATTGAAATGCATGATCCAAACAATTAAGTTTGGTTCCCGGGATGACTCTTGTGTTGGTGGGCCAGGCCAGATTTTTTCCTAATTTTCCCTGAGTTATAAGACCCGAACACCATTCTCTTTAATTTCTGGATCATTGGTTCCCTTGTAGCTGGTGAATCAGTCACTTAGGTTTATTCCCAGAGGTTAGGTTCATTGCCTAGGTGTTCTAGTGGAAAAAGTGCTAAACCCGAGGTCAAAAAGACCTGAGTTTGAATCCCACTTCAGATGCTTATTAACTATGTGACCCTGCTTCAGTTTCTCCATCTGTAAGTGAGAGGGCTGACTCGATTTCTCCTTAGCTCTAAGTCTGAGATCCTTATGGAGCACAGCAGACAAACCATTTGCGTACTTTAAAGATTTCGCTTGGCTATCCTTAGTCCCTCTGTTAATTCCTCTTGTGATTTTTTCCCCCGATGAGTTGTTTCTTCTTATAATTCCTAGAGCATGTCTGTTATCCATCATGTTCCAAGGAAGTTCCTGCCCTACTCCCTAGTGTTAACTGTTGTTACTGTTTCTGTCTATCTGTCTTCTGATCTTCTGCCTTTGCTTTTTTATTTCTTTTTTTTTCAGATTGTCTTTATGCTGTTAGGTTTGCTCATTATTGGGGGGGGTGTTTTTTATTCTCTTGCAAGGATTTGTGGTAGTTTTGCTTCTTTTTGGTGTTTCTGTTGCTTTTTTGATGGGGGAGAGGCGCCTCTTCAAAGCACGAGGCTTCCCTTTCTGGAAGATCCCAGACAAGCCACTCGCTGTGTGGAAGCTGAAGAAATTGAGTGGCCTGGCTAACTGCCGTGGTCCCTTCCAACTCATGAGTTCTGTGGATAAATCTGGGATCTTCAGATTTGGGACCTGGGCCAACCTGGCTGAAAGGGCAGAGGGAATGAAGGCCTTGTGTCACCTGCAGGTCTCCCCTGTGGAAAAGAACACCAGCGAGACCCTGTGTTCTCTGAAGTTTGCTGAGAGAGTGAGGTCCGTGGAGTTGGGTCCAGGGTCACGGAGGGCTGAGCTGATGTCATGGTCTAGTCAGGAGCACTTGGAGGTAACAGAAACGGCCCTGTGACCACCCTCTTGGGACTGGGTTTTCTTGCCTTTCTCTGGGATCAGACTGGCTTCCTTGTAGGGTTCATCCTTCTCTGTTTCATTGTGTCTGTGGGTTTCGTTGTGCCCTGGGACAGCCCCCACCTCCCTGACTCTCACTCCAGGCTGATGCCAGCTTTCTTTTTTCTCTCTCCAGTTCGATGGAGGCTCAGTCCAGACTCCGTCTTCCGCCCGGTCGTATTCCTCTTCTAGTACTGGGGCTCCCATTAGCCGGTCCAGCTCAATCCGGAGGAAGCTGCAGACCTCAGGTAAGGCTACAGAAGAGGAGGAGGAGTGAGAAGCTCCTTCATGTAATCATGGCTGTGTGCCTGGACGTGGTGAAGGAGGATGAATGGGCAGGGAGGGCACATCCTCCTTAATCCCACCTGCTCATTGGCCGGTCTTCCCAGATCATGAGGGCCAGCCTCTCCTCAGCCATGAACAATGGCCTCTCAACCACTTGGGCGGCCTCAGTCACTTTGGGAGCTCACAGAGACGCTCACTGACTGGGATGGTCTGGAGGAATTGGGCTAGGCACAGACCTGGGACTGAACCCCAGTTCTCACTGGGGAAAAGGAACCGTATCCACTTCACCTACTAATTGAGTGATTCACGCTTGAGCCCCCAGGGAATTTGTTCCCCACAGCACGGAATGTACGTGTCCATCAGTAAGTTTAATCCTGGGAGAATCCAAATGTCCCATCTTTTTCCAGTTCTCCTCCCTCAGGACAAATTATTTTTATTATTAGAATCATGCTTTTAAAATTTCTTCAAGGCAGTTTCACATCCATCATCTCCTTTGAGCAGAGACTGTTACCCCCATTTTGCAGATGGGCAAACTCATTCAGTGAGTTAGTTAAAAGGCCAGAGCAAGCCAGGTTTTTTTTTTTTTGCCTCGGAGAATCTTTCCAAGGGAGTCCAGCTCTGGGACAAGCCCAGCGCCCACCTCTCAGAGAGAGTCTCAATAGCCTTAGAGCTGAAAGTGACCTCAGAGGCCCTCATTATACCCAGGAGGAAACTGAGACCAGAGATGTGAGCTGACTTGGCACTCTGTGTCAGAGGCAGAATTTAGACTCAGGTCTTCCCGACTGCAATACTTTTGTTCCATGCCAAGAAAAAGGCATCTGTAGGAGTAGGGCCTGCCTGCCTGGTCCAGGGTAACAGACAGTCCTGGCCTGGCATCCTTCCCATCTCAGAAAGTGTATTTTTTGTTTCTTTTTGTTTTTATCCTTGAGAAGTAAAACCATAGAATGTCAGAGGTGAAAAGGACCTTCCTTCCTTGGAAATTTTTTAGTGCAGTGATCTCATTTTTACCGATGAGGAAACTGAGGCCCAGAGGAAGGTGTGCCCAAGATCACACAGAGAGTTAGTGGCAGAGTTTTTCTGGTCCAGGGCTCTTTCGCCTAGACCAGTCAGTTAGATCAGATGCCTTTTGTCCCCGAGGAAGAGGAAGGGAATATGACTCCAGTCTCTCCAGTGAAACTGTTTTGTTGGCTTTGATTTCAGCCTGAATTCGGGGGTCTGTCTGGCATGTTCCTCGGTGAGTGTTTGGGGAGGGCTAGGGTGAGCCTCTGACCTCCGTGGTGAAAGTCTGCTTTCGTTTCTGCCTGGACAGTGGATGCTGGAAGGCCCTGGGTCTCACTGCTAGGATGGAGCCTCAGGGTTTCTTTCTTGCCTTTCTTTTTAATGGGGTCCTGCCCTTTCCCTTCCCAGGCCCTGGTGGGCTGCTTCGGGGGGCCACGGAGTATGAGCAAGCCAGTCACTTGCCCTGCTCCCTGATACTTTTTTTCTCCCTCCTTCCAACTGTAGGAAAGACAAAGCCAGTGCCAGTGTGATAGCCCAGGAGCCAACGTCTGGGCGTCCAGTGCCCGGGAAATCTGAGGGTGAGAGGTTGGAGGAAGGACACTGCATACTGCTCACCTCCTCGCTTTCCACCCAGAATCAAGGACCCTAAATGGGCACAGACTGTTCTTAGGCCCGGGAAGGAGAGGGCTTCTCCTTTCTGCCCTCGACACTCTGCTTCTCCCCAGCCCTGTCCCCGACAGATGTGAAATTAGTTTTGAAGGAAATGAATCTTTTCTCCAGCCCACACGTGACAGAGCACAGATAGTGTATGTTGGGGCCAATGGGCCTGGCTGGACCATAGGCACATCTCAGCCTGTAGGACCGGCCTCTTCGCCCTGCCTGTGGCCTGCAAACGTTTTAGGTTGCAAGGAGGCAACGTGGTCTTTGGGCTTCAGGTTGGCTCATCTGGAGGCCTGTGTTAGTCCAGATGATGGGAGCAGGTGCCCACCTTTCTGATAGCTGACCTACAGTACGATCAGTGCTCTGACCCAGACCGAATTGTGGACAGAGGCGGACGTTCCCGCGGGACCTCGGAGCAGCACAGCGGAAGAAGGCTTTGCCTCCCTATTTTCTCTTACATCCTTGGGCCCTCCCAGGCCTCATCTCTTAGATCCCCTTGCCTATGGGGGCCCCAGGGGTAGAACTCAACTCACTTTGTGGGATTGGCCTGGAGTTTGCTCTTTGTGGGTTTTTGGTTCACATGCCCCCTTAAAGCCAATGGGCAAAGAGGAAGCTTGGAGAAAAAGGGGCTGAGAACACGATGGCATCAAGGAATTATCTTCATTCAGTTGTGTGGGCTGCCACGCCATGGGCTCTTTATAGCTGTACTTGAAGGCTGCAGGAAGGGGGCAGGAGACATGGGCTTTCTCCATGGCTTCTCTACCCCAGCCCCTTTCCACCGTGAATCTCCTTATTCTAAGCCCACTGTCCTTTGCTACTCCTCGGGGCTACTCTCCTTCTTCCCCCCCACCCCCATTTCCATCCATCCACATGGCTTGGTTTTCTGGAAAACTATTAGCCTGCAGGACCCCAGAGGCTGCTCTAACCTCTTGCCATGCAGAGGAGGGAGGCTGGAAATGGCCAGGCTAAGACCTCCATCAACAATCTCAGAACTTTAGGTGGTTGGCTCCCTTCTGTCTCCTGGCATAGCATCCTCTCAACCCTCGTTCTCTCTGATTCCCAAGGGAATGATGCACTTTATGGAAAAAGTCAACAGACTACCCCATGCAATCATTTGGGAGGGAAGAGGTGACAACTCCCTGGACAGGCTGGTTCAGAACAACATGGGAGATGGGGGAAAATTGGCTTTCGAAACGCAGGTGGCTGGTGGGCAGGCAGCCAGGGGCAGTATGCCCACAGCTGCAGGGAGGTCTGTCCCTTAAGCCCTCACCTGTGCAGAGATCCCAGGGAGGGGATCATCTTACCCAGGGAGGGGGTTTCAATCCTGAAACCCTAGCTTGCTTCTCACTTCCTCCACCCTTCCCAGTTTCTTCAAGTTTATATTTGGTAAACCCGAGGGAGGGGAAGGGGCTGGAAACCCAAAAGACAAGGGGAGGGGGGCAAGTAGCTAACTGCCCTCCAGGTGGGAAACACAAGCATGACAAGTGAATTTGTACATACCTGTGTATAGGTGTACATAGGCACCGCTGGAGAGTTCACCTACTCGGCAAAGATATATTTTAAGTTTTTCTTTTCTCAATTCCCACCCCCACCCCCCCCCAGGCTGTTGCTGGATACATATTTATATCTCCCAGAGGCTCAGTGCCCTCGGGCTCATTTTTGTGAAGTTTGACTGTTGTTTGTGACCCGACCCTCTTGGAGGCCGGGAGGTCCTTGAGGGGGAGTGGCCAGGCACTTTACGTCTCAGATGCACTGGTTTCTCTTTTTCCACTACAGCCCTTTTTAATGTTTCTCATAATTCCTCATCAAGATCTTTTGGAATATGAGCTGTTTTTACTGATTTTAATAAAGAGAGCTCTTTTGCACAAATTACATGAGAACTTACTCTAAGCATAGACATCCCCTCCCTTCCTCATAGAAGGGGATTCAGGTGTGTGTGTGTGTGTGTGTGTGTGTGTGAGATATTAGAGCTCTGATCAGCACAATGACCAGCCATGATACCAAGGGACCAGTGATGAAGAATGCCACCACCCACCTCCTGACTGAGAGGTGATGGACTTAGGGAGCAGAATGAGAGACATTTCTGGATTATGCTTGATTATGCATATTTGTCACAAGGGTTTCCTCCTCACCCTGGGTGTGGGACAGGGAGGAAGAGGCAATGATAATTGAAAAAAAAAAAAAAGACTGGATCACCAGGAGTGAGACTCCCACAAAACAACAGTCACTTTTCTTCAAAGGATATCTTTTCATTTCTCTCCATAATTAAGTAGCCACATTTGTTTCATCTCAGACACCCTGCAGCCAGGGGGATAAACAACACAGTGGGTTTGGGGCAGGTGCTCTGGCCACCTGTTATCTCCCTGGCCTGCTTCCCCACCCTTCACTGGCTCCTGTCTACTTGAGCAGAAGGGCAAAGGATTATCCACATCCAGATTGGGGACAGGTGTGGGAACCAGATCCTTCCCCTCCTGGGAGCTAGAGGTTAGACAGCTGCCCGCTGAGCAGCAGGTAGGAGAGATGGATGGAGAGGACTCCACCTCTTGCCTATTCCTGTTCTGTCAGCTGTTACCACAACGGGACTTCTGAAGGTCTGCCGATCACCACCTCCCTTGCAGCCCAAGGCACTTCTGGCCACATGGGGTGGGTAGTCTTTCTAGGTGGTTTTTTCCCACCGGATAAGTGCAGTCAAGCATTACAGTAGCCACATCACCAAGAGTAGGCCAAAAGCCCTACTTTAGAAGTGGAAGGAATCAGAGAGACTGTCCAGCGAAGGAACTCTCTAGCCTTGACATGAACATTTTCAGTTACAGGGAGCTCATTATTTCGCAAGACGATCTATTTCGTTGTCTGATGGCCCTAAGTGTTAGAAATCTCTTTAAAGTTGAGCTGAGAGCTGTCATTTTGTAATTTCTGTCTCTTGCTCCTTTTCCATTTGGGAACTTAAAGAAGACTCATGTGCTCCCAACCTGAGTGTCCTCGTTTAAATAGTTTGTTTCCTCGACAGATTCTCACAGGACGGGATTTTGGGTTGCTTTTCTTCTTGGACACACTCCTCTTAAAATGGAGTGTCCAAGAGCTGAGCACCATATTCTTGGTATGGTCTAACAAGAACAAAGCATCCTCTGCTGTTCCATAAATGATAAATTCTAACATGGATTTGACAGCCGAATCCCTAGTCTTGACCTTTTGTCTCAGAAACTCCCACTCCGTAAGGCATCTTGCTAGTGACCATTCATTCATTCTTTCCATGCATGCATTTCTACAGTATTTTGTCAATCACTTATCTGGTTGTTTGTCTCAGCTGGCTGGAGCGCCATGGAAAGGAGGCCAAGTTGTGGGGCTGATCCCCCTGTAAGCCCTGGCTCCATGGACTTGCATTCAAGTTGTATCATTGGTGACTAATCGCCCTTTCTTGGGGACATTTCTAAAGGGCTGTGTAACTAACTAATCTCAGTAAGTACTCAGATCTGCATCTCCTCAGTGTCTAGCAGACACCCAACACCTCCCCCTAGTGTCCATTCCGCAAACAGTCATGGCTTGATCACGAAGATGTGTCCTGTAAACCCTCATATCCGTGGTCACAAGAGGAAGTGGGCCATCTTTGTTTGAGTCAGTGAATACCAAATGCCCCACTGAAGACTGATTATCCTGCTGGAGGGGATGAGGAAAAATGGACCAGCAGAAAGCCAGCATATCTTCACCTTTCTCCTCTAGCGATCAGCAGGGACCCAGCCCTATCGGAGCTGCAAAGTCCAGCAGCTGCTGAGGATGGCCTCCGGGGCTCCCCCATCCTGTTCCTCCCCTCCTCTCCAGGTTTGTCCAACAGTTCTGTGGTTTCTCCACTTGTTCCTAAAATAGCTTGAGCTGTGGGGTGGGACCAACCTTTAAGTCTTCTTTGAGGGTGAATGGTCACCACGAGAACAGCTGTCCCTCCCAATAGCCCTGGGACTGACATACCAGCGAAGGAAGGGAGTGGCATTTTGCCCCCTTCTCCTCCCCCAACCCTGCCGCCCCTTAAGGGCCTAGGGTGAGGCTGAAGGCCCAGGGCGGACTTCTCAGCCAGACTAGAACTCCTAAGCTCTGCATTACAGCGGGGCCCACTGGGCCAAGCCCAGCCCAAGTCCTCCGGCCAGCACCCAACGTTTAAACACCAAGGCCACTGCGAGTTGGAGAACTCTCCTTCGCCCTGACTCCAGGTCCAGGTCCCATGGGCCCCGGATGGTTGGTGCTCTGCTGAGCTTCTCAAGGGCAAGCTCTATTTTATCTCCCCCAGGTTCATCCAAAGTGGATGTTTATGAATATACAAGGGGTTCGGAGTATTAGTGAAGTTTTAAGCTATTAAAGCTGAAGGCTGCACTGGGACTTTTGAGACACCCAGTGCGTGCCCACGCACGCCCATGTGCACACGTGTGTGGGAATGAACAGCTGGGCCACCTCCTTGGGCCAGGACGGCCTCGACCTCCCTCTGGTGGTCTGAGCGTGGAAGTGCACTGACTCGGCTCAGAGGCCCCCGGGGGCCGGTTCCGCCCGGGAGCCGTCCAGGCTTCACACCAAGCTCCACGCCAGTGCTCCGGCTCTGAGGGGGAGGGCCCCAGAGCTGCTATTGCTGACCTCCAGCACAGGGGTCAGCTGTGGCAGACACCAGGATCAGCACGGCTCTGTGCCTGCCTGCCCTCTCTCCCCCAGGCCCGGATGGGAGGGCCCCTGCCCTCGGGAAGACCACTCCCTCCCCAAAGTAGATCAGGGAAGAGTCACACATCCGATGCAATGCACCTCCCACACGCCAGCCTCCAGATCACCCCAGAAAAAGCGAGAAGGGGCCAAGTCGGACAGCGGTTTATTGGAGAACAGTCATCAGCAGGAGCCCCGTGGTGGCCCAGGCTCCTCCTCCCCCTCCAGGAGATGCGCAGAGCTGTGACGCCGGGCAGCCACGCGCCTGCCCGAGCACTGTGCGGTCCCTGGGGCGAGGGCCGAGTCTCTCAGGACAAAGTCCACACGGGTCCGAACCGGACAGACGCGGCTGGGCCCCAAAGCCGCTCCGGGATGGGGAGAACGGAGAGGCGACGCGGGTGGGAGAGCCGGGCTCCGGGCCTCGCCGCAGCCCGGGAGCTGCAGGCAGACAGAACCACGAAGCCTGGGGTGGCCACAGGAGGCAGAGGGGGTGCGTGCGTGCGCGGGGCGAGCCGGTCACTCAGTCCAAGGGGGCCATGAGCAGCTGCAGCTCCCTGAAGGCACTGCCGTGGCGCCCGCTGAGGCCGGACTTGTTCTTGATGAGGTGGCTGATCGTCTTCAGCTGCTTGTGGCACAGCCTGCACTTGTGGAGTCTGGGGACAGAGGGGGGCTGGCGTGAGGAGGCCCAAGCCCTGCCCTCCGTCACCCCCACCTCCGCATCCCGGGACGGGCTCTCTGGGCCTCGAATGCAGGGCTCCTGATTTCAGCCCCCCCCCCCCGTGCTTTTCCACTGATACCAGGGTGGCCCCCTGGACAGGCAGCGTGAGAGCCTGGGGCTGGACAGAGAGGGCTCCCCTTAGCACCCCCCCCAGGGTTATTACTGGTCAGCCTTAAAGCTCCTCCTCCTCGTCCTCCCAGCCCGGCCAGGGCAGACCCAGGCACTGGGAGGGGGGTTCCCTCACCTCTCCTCTCGGCTGATGTCTACCCCCACAGAGGGCGGGGCAGCCAGGATATCTGTGATCAGGGGTAGGAACCGCTGCAGGATCAGCTTTAAGGAGGTGCATCCCGTCTGCACGTAGCTGGAGAGACATGGGCACGGTGGTCAGGCCCGGAGCGCAGCTGGGCCCCCAAGGAAATTCACCTCAACTGGCCCCATTCACTCGGTCCAGGCCCAAGCATCACCCGTGCTGAGGCCTTCTTTCAATCATAAAAGTAGAGACTTGGGGCCACAAAGGACTGACCTCCTGGTCCTTGGGTACTCGTGGGGGGGAAGGGAGAAGGTCTGAAGCCATGGGCCGGGCGACAGCTCTCAAACAGCCCCTCAGTTTTACAGAACAGGGTAAGAGGCATCCTACCCTTCTTTCAGGGCAGATGGATGGTGCAGTGGACAGTGCTGGAAGACCTGAATTCAAATCCAGCCTCAGACACTTCTAGCTGTGTGACCCCGGGCAACTCATTTAACCTTCTTTGCCTGAGTTTCCTCATCTGTCAAATGAACTGGACAAGGAAATGACAAACCAGTCCAGTCTGTGCCAAGAAAACCCCAAATGGGGTCACGAAGAGCTGGACACGACTGAAATAACTGAACACCCAGCACCTTATGTCAATTATTGGCAGGGTGGCAGAGAACGTGTCTTAAGCAGGGGCCGGAGGCAAATGAAGCCAACTGCGCCTGAGGAAGGCCTCCTCCCAGGCAGACAGGCTCAGCCCCAGGACTCCGCCACCACCTAGTCAGGCCCCGTGGCCAGGCCTCGCCTCCAGCCTGGCTCTTACAAAGTCTCTGAAGTGTGAGGCGCAGTGGCTGGAGCTGCCAGCCCTGCAGTCAGGAAGAGCCGGGTTCAAATCCTGCCTCTGGCTCTGTGTCAGTGCTCTAGGCAGAGAAGGTGTTGGCCTGCCCTGGTGGAGGGAACTTCCTCACCCGGGAGCTCCTTACAGTAAGGAAATCCCAAGTCCGGTGCCTGTCCTAGGAAAAGAGGGAGGGGTCAGCCCAAGCTGTCAGGGAAAGCTGGTGACCCCTGGGGGGGGGGAGCAGGGGGCTGAGGGGTCACGATGCTGGTAATGTGTCTACGAGGCGGGGACTGTGTGCACACGTGCAGGCATGTATGCGCGTGCATATTTACACACGTGCACATGTATGTGCGCTTGGAGGTGTGGGAGCGGCGCGGCCTTTACCTTTCATATTTGCTCTGAAGCAGCTTCTCAATCTGGGGGAGGACAGTGGTACAAAGGTCCAGTTTCCAAAGGGACCTGTGGGACGAGAGGAGAGCGGCCAGTCCGAGGCCCTGCCCGCAGGGGCTCCTCCTCCAGCCCCTGCCCGCCCTGGACCAGGCCCCAGATACTCACGCTTTCTGATTCACTATGTTGAGAAGGTCGACCACCACTGACAGGTCGTTTATGGCCACGGCCGAGTCCACGGATGTCTGAGGAGACACAGGCAGGGCCTGGCATCAGAAGCAGCCCCGTCTCTGCCCTGCCCCCTCTGCAGCTGCACTCCAGAGCACGGGTGCGAGAGCTCACAGGGGGTTCAGCTGCCCCAGCCACTGTGCCCCTAAAGCAGGGACCCTGGTGAAGCTGAGGACCCCTCTCAGAACCGGGATTTTCCATGCACAGTGGACAAGTACAAAGGGCAGTGAAAAGAAGCAGGTTTTTCCAGGCAATCCCTGGCTGCCCCCAATCTACACGTGGGCCTGCCGAGCCTCCAGGCCAGGGCCAGTCATCTCTTGTCTGGTCAGCCCAGGCCTCCCCCCACCATGGTGCCTGCTCCTCTTTCTGGTCTGGGCCCAGTCAGAAGAACCGGTGGCTCAGGGGAACAGCCTAGGGCTGTGGGGGCTCCTCCTTGCCTTGATGTCCCCCGTGGTCCAGACAGCTCGCACCGTATCCAGGTTCTTGTGACGGCTGGTCAGGACCACACACATGGTATCGTGGCCCTTTCGGATCTGGGACATGGCATCTTCATCGACCATCTCTGACTGGTTGGGCATCTTCACGGCCTAGGCACAGAGGCAAAAGGCTGGTTGTTGTGCTGCGAGGGGCTGCCAATGAAGGCCTGATGGCAGACCCACTGGCCCACAGAACAGAAGGAAAAGCTGGCCTTCCACTCTGTGCTCTAGAACCCCCAGCCCAGCAGATGTGTAAGGCTGCACAGCAGGCCACACCAGGCCTGGCACAGGAGACAAAGAGGCCCCGTCCAATGCGAGGTGAACGTGGTCCCGAGTGATTACTGCCACCCCCCAGTCCTGAACCCCCAGCCTCCTGCCCATTGGGCTTGCGCCCATTTTCCTTACAGGTAGGAAGTCGGAGGCTCTGAGCCCGATGGGCTCATTTCTGGCAGCAGGAATGACAGCAGGCTCAGCTTTGGGCATCGGGGTGGAGGTGGCAATGGGAAGCCTGGGCACCAAGTCAGACTAGAGGGAGAAGGACGCGGCGTCGGGGCGAGCCCTGGCGGCAGCCCCCCCCCCCCAGCACCCTTGGGGTCACGAGGCCGCAGACGTACGTTTCCTCTGTTTGGCATCGGGAGCTGAATGTCCATGGCCTGGCTGGGCTTGGATGCCTCCTTTGCTATGGCCATGTCTGAGGCAAAGGACAAAGATTCACTGGGGTCAGACCCTGGCTCTCGGAGTAGGAGAGTGCACGGTGGGGTCGGGTCAGGGGGCCACGGGTCCTGGGGGCCGCGCCCTGCTGCCCTCTCCCTCTGACTTACCATCCTCCGGAGGGGCGGGGAACGGCTCAGTCCTCTGGGGCGGAGTCCGACCTGCCAAGGTAAAGGGACGGAGGAGGCTGATGTGTACAGCACGAGGTGACGGGGCCTCCCTGAGCAGCCTTGTTTCTGCCCGGCCACCCCAGCCTGGAGGCAGAAGACCTGCTTCAAGTGTGGCCTCAGCTAGGCTTGCTTTTCTGGGCCTCTCTTTCCTCATCTGCCCCCCCCCCCAGCTCCGATCCTCTGCCCCACCTGTGGCCCAGGACTCACTGATGCTGTTCTTGGGCTGGAAGATCTCCTTGTAGTCCTCGGCGTTCTGGATCTCGGCCCTGGACTCACGCTCATCACGGTCGTCCTCACTGCTGGGGCTTCGCCTCTCACTCTCAGAGTTATGTTTCACCCTGATGTGCCCGGGCCCCGTGGAGACAATGGAGGGGAGAAGATAAGAGGGGAAAGGGAAGCCATCCGGTAAGGTCAGTGGCCAGGCAGGAAGCTCCTCCGAGGCCAGGCTCCAGGCCTCAGCGCCTGGTCAAGCCTCTCCATCAGGGAGGATCCTCCCTCTGCACAGCCGGCCCGGGGCGCCCCAGCTCACCTCTGGGGCTTGCTGCAGGCTGTGGCTGGCCTCTCGTAGCCTCGGCGGATGGAGGAACCCGTGGGTGTGGGTTGAGCCACGGGTCTGCTGTCCTGTACTGGGTCATGCACAACAGTCCCAGACCTCGTCACCCGGTTCAGATCCACCACATATGAGGAAACGTTGCTCTGGGCAAAGGAGACGCCGATCTAGGCTCAAAGGAACCAGAATGTTAGCAGTGGGGGGTCCCGGGGAGAATGTGCAGTCCAAACCCTTCACCCTCACTGCACAGAGGAGATGACACATCCAGAGGCAAGGAAGCCCCTGGCTCGGGGCACAGAGGGGGCAGGCCTCTCCTGGCTCCCAGAGCGCTGACAGCTGCCTCAGGCTCCATCACTAGCCCTTAGCTCCACCTTGCTGGCATTTCCAAACTTGCCAAGTTAGCAATCATGCTTGGAACCCACACTATCGACAGCCTCATGAGAACATGCTCCGGATCACAGACAAGTGGAAAGCTCTCAAGTAAAGCTCGCGAGGCTCCGCTCACCCCCGCAAACTGACAAAGCGTCCTCCACTCTCATCACGACACTGTACAGACACGGCTGAAAGCCTTCGGTACGCTGATCAGTGTCGTGATGGAGGCCCCTGACGGAGCAGAGACGTCTGGACCCAGAAAACATGGGAGCTTGTACTGCTCGACTGGGCACACGTGCTACAAGGGGTTTTCTACCCCCATCAAGGGGGCAGGTAGGAGGGAGACAAAACAGACTTTTGTTAGTTCTTAAAAAATTACATTTAGTCTTCACAAAACAAATATGATGAGTGGGGGGGCTGAAACCAACGCCGTCTAAAGATGGCAGCCGCCAGTCAGATTCCACGGCTGCGCCCAGAGGGAGGGGGCGGGGCCCCAGAGGCCGGCCCGCAGGCCATGCTCACCAGCTGGTTGTTGCAGGTGGTCAGGTCGGCCACCTTGCCCCAGTTCACCGAGACCACGTCGAAGCAGCGCTCGGGCTCCCAGCCATACACTCGGAGGGAGTCTTGGCACCCGCTGTACAAGCAGCAGCCGTCGGGGTTGAAGAGGATACTCCTGGGAACAGGCAGAGAGTTGCGAAGGGATTCCCCAAGAGCCTTCAGGAAACCCCCACCACCCGAGGGAAGCCCTGGCCTGACCACAGGTCACTCCCAGAAGATGCTCAGAAGCCCGGGTGTGGTCTTAGAACAAGCTCTGCTGTGGCTGGCCAGAGACCTGGGTGTCCAGTTTACCAGGCCCAGGGCATGGGCATAGACGGGACTAAAGCTACTGTGAAGATGATGGACCCAGGGATCCAGACCTCCCAACTGTCTGAAGCAGAGGGGCACGCCAAGGGCACACCCATGTACCTGACAGGCCCAGGCTCCCCTTCAATGCAGCTGACCACCTGGAACTTCTCCAGATCCCAGAAGCGGATTGTCCTGCAAGGGGAAATGACCCCAAGGAGCTAAGTAGGCCTATTCCTTCTTCCCCACCCTTACACAGCGGTCTCCTGTCTCCTAAAGAACTCCTAAGGGGGAGCAAATCATGGGGACCCAGACTCTCCCAGAATATCTGTCCAGGGAGATAACCAGAAATAGCAGAATAAGGGCCCGGGACCCCGCCACATTTAGAGAGACGAGACCTCTTCCTCCTGGCTGGCTGAACAAGTAAGTCAAGGAAGGAATGTGAAAGCATTTATTAAGGGCTCACGAGGTGCAGACATGAGGAGCATGGCGGACAGAGCATGTAGGAAAGCCAGAAGGCAGGAAGTGAGATCGGTCACTCTTCTCCAGCACAGCTGAGTCCTGCTTAAAGGCCCAGCTGACAGACACATTGCACAGGGGCTGGCCAGGTGCTCTTTTGTCTGGACCCCTCTGGACAAACATCCAGAGATGCTTTGGCCCTTGGGGGGACGTCCCTGCTTTCCTGCTCCAGAGGGCGCCCTGCGTTCTCAGTAAAGGTGGTCCAAAGTGGCTTTAGAGGCTGCACTTCCCAAGGCTGGGCCGAATGAAGACCACTAAAGAGAACTTGGGCCTGTCCTCCCCTTCCTCTGCTTACCTGTCAGAGCTTCCAGAAGCCAGGAGGTACTCATTTGGGTGAAACTCTACCACATTGACAGGCCCCGTGTGTCCCAGGAACTCGGACATCATCTTCCCAGCAGTCAGATCCCAAAGCTGGGGAGGTGAGAGAGCCAAGCCTGAGCACGGAGCTCACCAGTGGAGCTTTCAGATACTTTCTCATTGTTTCCAGGCTGGGACGAGGCCCGAGTGCAGAACACAGAATCTGTCCCACAGAAACACTGGCTTCTGCCAGTCTAGTCTGGCTGCTTTACTCCCTCCCAACCTCCATTTCTGACAGACACAGGACACATAGGCTCCACTGGGCACGGGTCCCCGTACTGATCCCAAGGCGCAGCCTCCCAAAGAGCCAAGACCCAGCCTAGCCAGGACTCTACCTTCACGCTGTGGTCATCTGCAGCAGACGCTAACCATTTCCCATCGGGGCTAAACCGAAGACATCTCACAGCCTGGGTATGTCCCTGAAAGACAAGTGGCACATAGCTCAGCCACTCCTCCAGAATACACCAGGCCTGCCCATTCACGGGGTCAGGCACACCCGCAGCAGTAGACGAACGTGGGATCCTCATTTCCTATTTGTTTTCCACATCTGAGATGTTGGGAAGACAGAAATGATAAGATCTGGCAAGTGAGCAGACATGTGGACTGAAGGAAAGAGAAGTCAAGGATGATGTCATGGTTACCCATCTAGGAGATCAGAAAACTGGCAAGACGGCCGTGCCTTTGGCAGAAATTAGGGGAGTCTGAACAAGGGGAGTTTGGGAGAGGGCTAATTAGTTCTACTTTGGCCATGTTTGGGATGTTGCTGGGACATCTGGGCAGAAAAGTCCATTCTTGGACTCTGCAGGTGGTGATGCGGGACTGAAGCTCTGGAAGGCTGCTGGGACGTGGACAGATCCCTCTGTGAGTCATCTGTGAGTCACTGAGATGATAATGAAAGTTACCAAGTCAGAGAGCAGAGGGCAAAGAGAAGAAGCCTGGGGCAGGGCCTTGGGAGGTGGGGGCAGGAGGACAGAGGACAGCCAGGAAAGAAGCTTCACTAGGAAAAGTCAGACATAGAGGAAAAGAACCAGGGGACAAGAGAGAGGAGAAAATAGCCAGGAGAGGGCAATTAGCGGAGTCAGATGCAGCAGAGGTCAACAATAAGGAATGAGAAAAGGTTGAGCCACTCAGAAATCACTGGTAACTCTGGAAACCCCAGCGGTCAGCAGTTGCTGCAGAAGGCTGATGAGTGAGAGGAAGGAGAGGCGGTGAAGACAGACAGCTTTATCTTGGAGTCTGGCTGAGAAATATGGGATGAAGGCTCGAGGGGGTGGGAGGGTCCAGTGAAAGGTTTCTAAGGATGGCAGAACTTGGGAATGTCTGAAGGCAGGAGAGGAACCAGCAGAGTCAGAGAGGCTGGTGCTTAGAGAAGGGGGAGGCATGACTGGCGGGCAGGCCATCTACCAGAGAAGCCAGCAGAGGAAGGGATCAAGAGCACGTGCAGAGGGACTGGCCTGGGTGACGTTTACCTTATTATCAGAGGGGGAGAAGGAAGAAGGAAGAGGATGATGTCAATGAGACGAAGAGAAGAGGAGAAGGCTGTGATTTCTCAGGAGAGACAAAGTTCTCAGCTGAGAATGGGAGCAGATGGAAGTGGGAGAGGCTTGAAGAGAGAAGGCAGAGCCTGGAAGAGCCTCTCTGGGAGTGAGCCTGGGAATCAAGGTGAGAGGAATAAAAGGACCGCTGAGCTGAGGGAGCGTACCGGCGAAGCACAGAAAAGATTGCCTGTCCTCAGCCAGCTCTGTTCAGCATATGTGGGGAGGAGAGGAGGAGGCAGGTGCTGAGAATCACCCAGGGCTGGGTCTGGCAAGGGATGAGCACACACAGGACATGGAGGAGAGATCTGAGAATAGAGTAAGCGTGGGAAGGGAGGAAGTAAAGCCAGGGAAAGGGTAATGGCCAAAGAAAGCCTCGAGGACCACATCGGGCCTGCATGCACTTGTGCACGCTCTCCTCCTTTTGTGCCCCAAACACAGCACAGTTCTCTCTCTGCTGTACCAAGCAATGACGATCACTCACCTTGTACCGGAACACACAGCCTTTTCTCCGTATGTCCCAGAGCTGTGGAGCAGAGAACCAGAGGAGAGGAGGTCAGCAGGGCAGGGTGGTAAAGGCTGCACCAGGAAGATCGGCAGTAACAACACCGGGAAGGGGACAGAGTTTGGCTCCTAGCTCAGACACAGATTCTGAAGTCAGGGCCTCCCCTGCCCCTACATCATCAGCATCCAGAGAGACAACTGTCTGGACCGTATGCCCCGAACCCCACTTTGGGCTACAGTTCAGACTCGGTGGATTCAGCTACTAGCCGCACTCTCCCATTTCACTTTCTGCATGTAGGCAGGAGGCACCCCAGTACAGGCTCTGGCCAGTTAGTCCTATAAATTAGGGAGATGCCATACCAAGTATGGCCCAGAAATGGCACAGGAGTCCTGCACCTAGGAAGCACACCTCCTTCGCCATTTCCCCAACACTGAGTGAGTCACACAAAAGTGTGCTGAGTGTCTCAGTCAGTCCCTGCAGTGCTTGGGGACCATCATGAGGGCCACACCTTGGAGTGGCCTTACCTTAATGTTTGTATCCTGAGAACCAGAGGCCACAAACTCCCCATAGGGATGGAAGTCCAGGCTGCAGATGTTGGCTTTATGTCCCATTAAGGTACGAAGAACTGCCAAGGGAGAAGACAAGAGAATAGGCATGTGGTTTTGCTGTTGTTGTCTGACACAACGGTGGCCACTTCTGCCATGACGTAAGTCCCTGACAAATAAAAGGCGCACCAGGAAAACCAGCGTGTGCAGGCTGGCCCCGTCACCGAGGTCTCCCGGGAATGCTCACTCACCGTGCTCACCTGTCACACATGCCCACTGCGGTAAAAAGGATCCTTTCCGAGGCTTACGTTTTTCAGGGTTAAAGTTCCTATTCAAGGCTTTGGGGGAAGAGAGGTATCAGAATCCTTGCAGACCCCTGGGGGGGGTCCCTTTAAAGGTCCTGCTTCCCTGATTACTCAAAGAGAAGTAACCAATCCCCTAGAGAATTTTTTTTTAACAACTTTAAGGAAACTTTATTCTGCTTTAAGTCTATGATAAATGAGCCTCTGCATCCCTGACAAGTCAGGCGACAGTCATCTTATTAAATCCTTGGCACTCTGGATTATTTCTACAATCTTTAATCTTCTCAGTTGTGTTTTTCTCTTTTTAGAATTAACATTCAGCTTTCTGAAGGAAAACCAGTCTGCCTCTGACGCTAGGCACAGAAAGAGCCTGTACCACCCCAGATTTTCTTCTCTTCCCATCATGTCACACTTTGGTCAAGCCACCAGTAAAGTCTTATCATGTTGCTGTCTCACTAAGTGCTTTGCTGGCATATAATAAAACCAGTTTTCTGAAGGGTGTCAGTGCACCTCTAATCTGCTGCCCTGTCCCCAGGGATCATCTGGCCTCAGGCAGAATCCTTCATCACCTGATAAGGAGTGGCCGGCACCCATCCCTGTGTGGGAGGGTTTCCTGAGGGATCTGTTCACTCTCTAAGGCTGCAGCCAGACCAGGGAGCCTTCCTTCAGGTGGGGAGGGGATGAGCTGGCATGCCAGCATCCTTCTTTCCTCCTGGTTGCTGTTTTTACCCTTCAGTCTCCCTCCGGGCCCGGCCAGAGCAGGAGAGCCACTCCACTGCCAGTTAGGAGGGGCTTGCTAGAACACCTGAGCCAGTCTTGGGTTTCCAGCAGCCATCTCGGTCACCACGGCTCCCATGGCAGTTGTTGTAGGCTCAAGCACACGGGGAGTCCCTGCCACCTTCGGCTGTGACCTTCTCTGCTTCTAGGAGGAGAAGGTGTGCCTGGCAAGTAAAGCATGACACCTATGGTCTAAGAAAGCACCGCTCTGGGGATAATGAATTCAAGTTGACCATGTTTACACAACTTCCAATGACTCTCTTCTGCCTTGGTTTTCCAAGTATCTGCTGTGAACCCTCTGACTTCACACCAAGAGGGACACTCCAGAGATCTGTCAGCTTATGCAAAACAGTGCATCTGCTTGTGGTTTGGGTGGTCTGGGGGGGGAACGGCCTGGGCCCAGCTCTGAGAGGAGCCAGGGGTCTCCCTGGGGAAAAGGAGCCACTCATTTCACTTCTCCCGTCGAAGGTCCTGGTCCCCATTCCCCCACCCTCATTGTTAGTGCTTTCGCTCTGAGGTTACGTCCCAATTCTCCTGTCTACACCTTCTACGTACACAAGTGTTTGCCAGGTTGTCTCCCCCCATTAGGACGTCAGCTCCTAGAGGCAGAGTCTGAATTTGTGCCTTTCTTCGCACCCGCCAGCTTTTGGCACAGTGCCTGGCACACAGAAAGCCTTTAGTAAAAGACTGTTTGACTGACTTGCTAACTTGCCCACAGGTTTCCAAGGAATTTGTTCCCACAGCACAGAATGTGGGTGTCTGCAGCGAGTTTGGTCCTGGGCAGACTAGGGCGGGAGCAGAATCCAAGCGGCTTGTCTATTCCTAGCTCCATGTGCTCAGAACAAATTGTTTTTATTAGAATCCTGCTTTTTAAGCCTTTGCAGGGCATTTTCATATGCATTATCTACTCTGATTCTCATCACAATCTTTTCATACCTCATAGAAGGTAGAAGCAGAGAGGCTGTTCTACCCATTTTGCGATGAAGAGGTTGAGACTAAGATGGCCGCCCAAGGAGTCAGGAAGAAGCAGAGCTCGAAGGCAGGCCTCTTCTTCCCAGGCGGTCTAGCACCCCTGCTCTGGTCCTCGGCTCCCCCTTTTTCCTTTATCTCCTCCCCATCCCCTACCCCATCCCCGGAGCCCCCTCTGTCCAGTGCAGGGCTCTGGCCTGGGAACGTTACAGGCCTGTGCAGTTGGCAAAGGATGAGTGGGCACACGATGTTCTCCATGCCTCGTGTCTCTAATGGGGCTCCCCATACCACGTCCATGGCTCCTCTTTCTTGACAGGGCATCTCAGAAACTGGGCCTCCAACTCTGTGAGCTCAGAAGTCTGAGTGAGGAGATTCCACCGAGGGCCATGCGCCATCACTGCTGATGCAATGGCTTGGTGCAGAGCTGCAAGACCAGTTAGTTGGGATGCTGTGCCTTACAATCACCATTTGTTCTTGCCATCTGATGGGTGTTTCTGAAGAAGGGTTGGGAATGAAGCCTTCCAAGCACTTCTGTTCTTGAGCAAGAGCAGGTTTTCCAAATGTAACATGAAATGGTTAGCTGCCCTATGGCCTACAATCATGCTGCTGCCCCAGCAGAGGCGGAAAAGGGACTCGGCCAAAGGCACGTGGGGAGGCTTTCATGGTGGGCAGGGAGGCATGAGAGGAGGCGGACTGCTGGAAAGAAAGCCGTCTGAAGCCTGTGTCCTGGCTCCTGACCCAGAGCCCACTGGTTACTGGCTGGAAGCACATTTTGGTCAACATTCATAGCAATGCTGATGAACTAGAGGCAAAGACAACCCAAGACAGAGTTTTGCCAAATTCTCCTTCCATGGGCAACAACACTCTCCAGGCCCTCTCCCCTCCTTTTATCTTAGGGGCTAAGCCAAGACCCACGTCCTTTCTGACTAAGGTCCAGATCCTTCAGAGTAGACTACAGAGCACGTCCTGCAAGCTGAGCAGGCCCAAAGGCCATTTATTAGCTATTAATTGTCACTAATAGCCTTTCCCACCACTTGGGGAACACGTGGTAATTACTGATGACACTCTGCATTTCCTCCCACGAGTCATTTCTCTCTTCTTCCGTTTCTTCCTTCTCCTTCTCTTCCCCTCAATTCTCTTTGCCCAGTACTGTGGTAACGGGCACCTACTATGTGCACAGCATGGGGCTGACAAGACAAGTCCCTGCAGCACTTATGGATCCGTAGGAGTCATGAGACGGGACATGAGGAACCACAGCACAGTGCAGGAGAGATCTGGGGCTGGGGATGAAGGGAGATCACCAAAGACCACAAGGAGGCAGTGGCATTTGGGCCAGGCCGTGGGCAGGGCTTGGGCAGCACAGATGGGATAGAGGGCGTTCCAGGCTCAGGGACAATATCATTAATGAGAGGAAGAATGAGGAGAAGGATGACAGCGGTGCCGTCACTACAGCAGCCCGCTAAGCCCTAGCACCGGCTGAGCCCGGCCCCCACCTGCCTGCTGCTGAGAGCCATCCGCACGCCATCTTGGGCTCCCCAGCCTCCAGCGGGGGATCTGACCATTCATTCTCCTCACTGTGGCAGAGGGAGGCCAAGCCTGAAGATGGCAGGGCACTTTGTCCTTAAGCCTACAAGCAATGCTGAATGAAATGCCTCAACCCTGACTTTCCCACTAATCTTTCACAGATGACAGGATGGAAGGTTTCTGGGAGGAGTTTCTCTCCACTGGACCTTCAATGGGAGCATAAAGACAAAAGAAGACAGAGGAAAAAGAAAGAAACCAGACCTACTTTTGGCAGCTTCCAGGTCCCAAACACGAATGGAGCCTGACTGGGATCCAGCCACAATGAGCTCCTCGGGAGTGTTGAGTCGAACGCTCTCCACAGGGGAAGTGTGGCCAGTTAAGCTCTGTGGACAAAAGACAGCGGCCCTAGAGGAGCAGCACTTTCTAGAGAAGGGCCAGAGTCTGAAGCCCCAAAGCCTCTTTCTAAGTGGAGACACAAAAGCTGTGCAGAAACAGTGTTGGACTGAGAAGGAGGGACTCGAGTTCTAACTCTGGCTTTGTTGCTAACTTCTGGGGAGACTGCTTCTCTTTGCCTCAGTTTCCCCAAGTCTAAAAGAGTGACAGTGTCATTCAGATGATTGGAGGCTGTTGCCCTTGCCTACCAGTCTTCTCCTCCCATGTGACCCTTTCAGCCAAAATCAGCAAAGGCAGACCCTCTGCCTTCTCCACGCTCCACTCGCACACGTCCCCGCCCAAGACAACACTCAGAACCCAAGGGAAGGTTTCCAGCACACGCCAACGCGCCTACGGAGGGGGAGGAGTGCTGCTGCGACGTGCAGGTCCCCTTTGCTATTACCTGATCCCTGGGATGCTGCTACCATCCTAACTGCAGCGGCCAGCTCTGCCACGCTCCCCAGGGGCTCAGCTTAGCACAGAGACATTGTGAGAAGGTCCTGCTTGGGAGATGAGGAGATTCTCACATAGGTCAGAGCAGGCGAGAGCCATGGCAATTAAGACCCCGGGAGAGATCAAGGGGACTGTGCCGGCTGACAGGCAGAATCGCTGTCTCCTGCTACCCTGGCCTCACTCTCATCAGATCAGGAGACGAGTGATCAGAGCTGCCCCTGAAAACGGACCATGCAGTTTGCCCCTGCAGGGGCTTGCCTGGAGGACGCCCATGTTTTCTAGGGGACGGTTCTTGGCTAAGTTACCTGAAGGGTAAACACTGAACAGCAGCACCCCCTCATCTGACTATTAAACATAGACCCCATGATGACTTAGTTCCCAGTAAGAGTGTCCTCTCCCAAGTAGGCCTGTCCCAAATGGAACTTGGCCAGGTCCACTTGAGTCTATCAACTGAAAAATGGGTCTATTCTCCAGGACGAGAGAAGCTCCCACAGCAGCCAAACCTTTGCTCCTCAGCCCCAAACACAGACACTGCTCTGGCCCACTGGCTTCAGCTCATCTACTCTTACTATATATTTCTTAGGATCAGAGATTTGAGAGCGGGAAGGAATCTTGGAAGCCATTTGGCTCAACACTCTCCCTTTACAGATGAGGAAACTGAGGCCTTGAGAGGCTAACTAACTTTTCCAAGGTCACACAGGTTGTAAGGAGCAGAACCAGGATTCACATCTAGGTCCCTGGACTCAAGTCCAGCACTCCTCCTCTGTCTTGTGGGGTCTCAGGGGCTCTAGGCTCCATAGGCCCTGGTGGGTGGGCTATCTGGTTAGAGCAGGCATCTTTCCCAACCTCCCCGGAGTCACTTGGTAGAACAGTGTAAATGGATGTGAGGAAAAGATGACCCAGCATCTCAGGTAGGGGCGGCGCCTGGTTCTCTCTCATCTCCTCCCTGACCCTGCCCACCCCCCACTCCGGTGCTTCTTACCATGATGCAATTGGGCTTGTTAACTGACCATAGGTTGACCCGACAATCATCTCCTCCCGTTGCTAAGAGCCGTCCTGAGCCTTTGCCCAACACCAGGGAAGACACATTGCTGGCATGGGCCACAATTTCCTCTATAAAAGGGAATGGAATGGAACAGAGACACACGGTCACTGGAAGCCCCAGCTGCTTGTACCCAGAAGGGTGAGGAGCTAGGTCCCCCTACCCCACCACTGCCTGGCTTGTTGCCTGAGCCCTGGCCCTGATCAGGATCAGCTCGGAGCCTGAAAGCCCTGGCAGCCTTAGCCTCCAGGTTCCAACTCCACGGCTTCCTTCTGTCACCTGGGACGACTCTTAACCACAATCTGAGGGCAGGGAAAAGGCTGAAATCCCCACCCTAGACAATAGCAGGCTACCATGAGACTGTACGTGGTCTGCAGCCAAAACAAGGAGTACAAGGAGTCCAGAGGAGGAAGTGACCATCGGTATCCCCTTTCCAGTCCACAAAGGACTCTCACATCCATCATCAAGGAAGGGGAATGGCTAGTGGCTGGGGTGTTCTCTGACGCTTAATGCCAATGTGACCCCAGGCAAGCTGCTGACCTCCTTGGGCCTCAGTAAAAAGTAAAGGGGTTGAACTAGAGGGTCTCCAGGTTTAGATCAAAGACCCTATCATTGATTGTCACAGCACTCCTACAAACTGGGCAGAGAAACTCTTATTACCTCCATTTCACCGGCCCCAGGTCAGCCTTTCAAGGCCCACAGATTCAGAATTGGGAAGGACCTCAGGGGCCTGGAAGTCCAACTCCTCATTCTACAGAAAAGGAAACTGAGGCCCAGGGAGTAAAACGCTCCAGCCCAGGCACATGAATGAGAAGCCTCAGAGCCAACATCTGAGACACCCTGGGCTGGAGCTTGAGCTGCCTCTGGAGGCGTGGCCTAAGAGAGGGGATGCATCTGGAGAGCCGGAGGGCATGGAGACTGTTGTATGCCTCTTTCCCAGCAATGTGGAGACAGAGAAGCACACACTGTGTTCAGCTCCCAGAGCGGAGGAGAGGCTGGGGTGGGCCCTGGGTCATCCCAGGCCGCATCAGGCAGAGCATTCCCACACGGCAGCTCCACGGTCCTGCAGGGCCGGGCATAAAGCAGGGCATGGACCCCAGAAGAGGGACTTAGGCTTCATGTCTCGTGTCATGGGAGTGAGTGAGAGGAGAGGCCAAGTCCCCAGTGAGGAGGGGGCGAGATGGGCCTGCTCCCTGGGGCAGAGTCAGCATGGCTGATCCGAGCTGTGCCGAGGCCTCACTGCAGCAGTGACTGGTCTGGGCTTTCCCGTGTCCCACTACCTGGCTCCACCCTTTGCCAGGTGGCACAACAATCAGGCGCCAAGTTTTCTGCCTTCACAATGGGGCTTAGGCATTCTGGGGGTGGAGGGGCGGCAGGGGTGCTGACTCTGCCCTGGAAACACAGCTGGACATTCACACACCCTGAGCTCTGAGGAGCCCCTGGGACAGAGGCACCTGAAGGGCCTGTCAGCTGATGAGCTGCAGTCCTCTACGACCACTGCTGACAACTGTGGGCATCTGCAGGGCAGCTCGCACGTGTGAGGACAATCCTTTCTCCTGAGGATCTCAAAGTACTTCTAACCCTATGTTACCTGCCACAGAATGGCCTCATCACATACGTAACTGCAAATTCCTTACTGAAAACAACCCTGAAGTCCAGAGGGCAGAGGGACCGTGGGCCAGGGTCACCGGCCCCCAAGGTCAGGGTTGATGGTGCTGGGCCCCTGCTCCGAGCAGGCAACTTTGGCCACAACCAGCCTTCTCCTTGGCCATGGGGCTCTCCCCAAGGCTTCCTCCCCTGTGAACCCCCTTGGCCTCTGACCTTTCCCACTGAGGACAGCCCGCCGCTCTCTCTTCAGGGCTCTACTCTTTGAAGAGCACTCCGGGTATATTTAAAGTAGCAGTCTTGTCACATGCTGTCATCAGAATGGATAGCCGGGCAATCTGGGTTTATCTCTTTCTAGCAACATGCGTTCTTTCTCCCTCCCTGGGGACCTGGTCTGGGCTGCGACACTATTACTAAGTGATCTTGGGCAAGTCACTTCCCATCCCTGGCCTCAGTGTTCCCTCTTGCAAAATGGAGCCACTGGCTGGATTTTTAGAGCCTCTTCTCCTGCTGCTGCTGAGCACATTTCCTGGAGGCCAAGGCAATGACTCTGCAGGAGTGGGGGAGGGGAGAGAGTGGCAAGTGCAGCACTAAGATTAGATGGTCATCAGGAAAGAGCATCTAGGCCCTGGAATGACTGCCGGGCAGGAGAAGGGCTTCTGATCTGGGGGGCCAACAGCAAGAGGCACGTAATCTACAAGGAAAATGATGGTCTAGGTGCGTGTTGAAAATAGCAGCGATATCATTCATCAGTGCCAAGAAGAGGAAACAGGCTGCAGGCCCAAAGCAAAGCAGTGCCCGCCTGCTGCCATCTGCTGAGAGCCAGCCTCCGATCAGCCCCCAGCCCTGGGCCCGGGCAAGGGGGCCCACTGTCCTGCGCACAACAAGAATGTGGAACTCTCATGACATCTGCAGGGAGGCCAGGCCACAGAGCTGGTCACCGGCAATGGCCTGACCTCTGACAGCATGGCCCCGGACCACATCTGACAAGCAAAGGTCGGGCAGAAGCTGTTTCCAGACCAGAGAAACTGCGAACCACAGCAACCCACACACAAGTGGGAAAAGAGGGCGTGCTAGGCTTAGATCACAGCTCCCGCCTCTGCCTCTGGTCCTTGAAGAATCAGAGCCCAGGTCAGGTCCGTGCAGAAATTTCTCAGAAGCAGCTGCTTCATGACAGCCCCTGCCCTGCCGAGAAGTCCCAAGGACCTCAGCCAGTTCTGACAGCGCAGGCATGGGGCCTTGTGGCCACACAGCATACGTGACTATTACTTGAGGTAGCCAGGATCACTGACTTAGAGCTGGAAGGATCTTCGAGGTCAAGAGAAGAGTGACCTGCCTAAGCTCACGCAGGCAGAAAGTAGTGTTCTGACCTCCAAACTCTAGTCCTTGTCCTCAAACTCAATTCTCTCTCTTGCCACCATCCCCGCTCAGAAGAACATCAAGCAACACTCCAGGAGCCTGGCCATGGCGGAAATAAGAGGGTTCAGCTATGGCCGGGGGTTGGGGTGGGAGGGGGCCCAGTGGTCTGGAGGAATGATTCAGAGGGAAGCTAGATCTCGTCTTCCGTCTCTAGTCAGGTGTCATCCTGATAAGACTCAGTTTAACTCAGGAAAACAAACATTATTTTCTATTATAAAATTCCCCTCAAGGTTGCAGCAAACCATTGAGGGACTGTTCTTTAGTCTACTCTGTCCACTCTATCAGCCTAACTCAAAACCCTTGGGCCAATAAGAGGACATCAGGGGGCAAACATGAGCAGTCCCCTATGGAACACTCCATTCTCCAGGGGACAACAGGTGGCTAACAAGATTAACAAGCAGACAGCAGGAGAAAAAGAAAGGCAGGAGACTCACGTAGCTTCCATGCGGTCTTGGTAACAGGGGTCGCCATTTTTGCAGCCGTTCCTTTCAGTTGGCATGCACCCCCAAACCAACCAGAAAGGATTGCAAAGGGAGCTCTCCACTTTCCCAGTGGGGTGGGGGAAGAACCCCCCCAGACTCAAGTCTCAAGTTGGAGCGTAGTTCCGACACATCCAGGCAGAGACGATTCCCTGTTTTATGGCCCTTTGTTAAGTCCGTTTTATGACATCTAAGCAAGCAGTCTGTGCCTGCCAGTATACATCCCAGACCATGAAGAAATCAGTTTTGGTCCATTATAGAGTTATGTTGATCTGAAAGGGGAAAAAAAAATCCATTTAATTTAACCTGACATAATATGAGCAGGGACATGACCTTTTGATCTAAAGAAAAACAACCACCAGTATAGGTATCCAGTCCCCTTAATAAAAACTTTGACTTTGGAAGGAATGAGGAGGTATGCCAAGTGTTCTCAGTAGTGGTACCTGGAGAGTGAGTTCTCTTAAACATGATAATTTTGATTAGCAACAGAAAAAGTTGATTCTTGGGAAGTCTTCAACATGACTATAAAGAGACAGCTACACAATGTTTGTTTCCTAACATGAAACAAATTCAGGGAAAGGCTTGATATTTACAATGACAAAATCCAAATGACTAGAGGTGACACCCTACTCCTCCCTTGCAAATCCAGAAGGCTAACAAACCTGTGCCCCAGAAAGACCTTTTGCAGGGTGTTGTTTCAAAGCAAGATATGACAGGAGCAAGGAGGGCAGAGGGAGCCCCTATCTCACAGGTCCCAGAGGAAATTATAATTTAATCCTAAAGAGAATATCTCTTTATAACAGAACTAAGGAAGTCCCATTCAGCCAAATCATCTACTTTCCCTTTTACTCTCCCCAGGGCAGTAGCCAGAGGGGTTGACTTAGAGTAAGGGGCTGAGAACCAGAAACTTGACACCTCAGCTGCAAAGTCTTTGGGGCAGTCTCACTATTCTTCCACCGTCCCTAAGCCACTGAGTTCCTTCAGTCTCCTTTCCCTCCTCCGTGTTATTCACCCATTTGCCCTCCCTCCTTTATCTGCTCTGGACCACTCCTATGTTCTCTTTTCTCTCAATCCCCACTACTTTTAAAGCTTTACTTTCACTTTGTCCTTACTCAGGCCTGGTTAAGTGCTTCCTTCCCTCAGTCCTCTTCCATTTGGCCTCCTTCCCTTCCTCCTCTCTACTTCTCTTCCATTTGGCCTCCTTCCCTTCCTCCTCTCTACTTCTATTGTGTTGTTGAGTCTCCCATCTTCTCATTTCTTCTTCTATTTCCTCTGTCTATCCCAATGTCTCTATTCTATATCTCTTCATTCTGCCTCCTACCCTTTCTTCCCCCACTATCCTCACCCACTGTCCCCTCCTTCTCTCTTGTCACCTTTCTGTCCTTCGTCACTCTGTCTATACATTGTCTTCATCCTTCTTTCCCTCTCCATTTTGCCTCCCATCCTTCAGTCTTTTTTCTGTCCATCTACCTACTGTCCCCTCCATTCTGACCCTCAATTATCTCTATCTTCTGTCCCTCTCCATTCTACTTCTCATCCTGCCATCCCCTCCATTCGGTCCCCCGATTATCCGCTTCCTTCTCTCTCCTCCATTCTGTCCTATCATGATCTCCATCCTTTCTTCAGCCAACCCCCTCATTGTCCTCTTCCATTCTGCACCCCATCTCTCTGTCCATCTTCATTCTGTCCCAATATCTCCAACCTATCCCATTATTCCCATCCTTCTGTCCCCCAATTCTGCTCCTCTTCCTTCTCCATTCCATTCCCCCATTATTCTGTCCCCTAACTGACCCTCTTCCTTCTCCCCTTCTCCATTCCATTCCCCCATTATCCCCATTCTTCTGCCCCCTAACTGACCCTCTTCCATCTGCCCCCCATCTTTCTGCCCCCTCCATCCTGTCCCCCCATTGACCCTCTTCCTTCTGCCTCCCATCTTTCTGCCCCCCAATTCTGTCCCTCTTCCTTCTCCCCTTGTCCATTCCATCCCATTACCCCCATCCTTCTGTCTCTCTTCCTTCTCCCCTTCTCCATTCCATTCCCCACTCTCCCCATCCTTCGGGGCCCTTGGCCCCGCCCCCCTTAGGTCCTCCTCTTTATTCTCCCCCCCTCCCCCCCGCGCGCGCCGTTTCCGTTCCTCCCCGAGCCGGGGGTTGGTGGGAGCGGGGCCGGGGCCGGAGCCGGGGCCAGAGCCGGGGCCGGGCCGGGGGAGGCCGCCTGCCCTCGGGCTCTCGCGGCGCCCCCAGCCCCGGATCCACGACTCAAGGAGACACGGACCAGGCTGCTCCCTGCCCCTGCAGCCCCTCAGCCCCTCAGCCCCCAACCCTCGCCCCCTCCTACACCTGCGGCGGCGGCAGCGGCGGCTGCTTGGACGGTGGCGGATCCGCTCCCAGCGCGGCCCCCCACCTGACTCCATCCTCCGACCTGATTGGCCGCTGCTTGACAACCGACCCTCACAACAAAACCTCCGGCCTCCGTCCCCGCCTACCTTCACCCTCAGACCAATCAGCCGCCGCTGATGCCACGCCTCCAGGAAATCTTCACCAATCAAAATGGGCTCTGGGGCCGCTCTCCCTCATCACGGCCCCTCTTTCACTTATTTCGACTAATCACAATGAAAGGGTGTTCGAGGTCCTCCCCCCTGTCTATGGTGAACCAATGTGCTCCTGCGATTTCTTAAGTCCCGCCTCTACCTCGGAGCTCCATCCATCCTGGTCCCTCCCCCCGCCACTTTCCTCCCCATTCTCATTTTTGTTTGAAAATCTGCGACACGCCTCCAACGGCTTCCGCACCAATCCCCTTAGCAACCGTCCAGATTCCAACCAATCACAGCTCTCATTATTGGGAGGCCGGCCGCGCTTCAACCAATAGAAAGAATCCTGAGGAGGACCGTGAAGTAGCTGAACTGTCATATTGATTTTGGGCAAGTCTGGAGCGAAACCCTTCTCCCTCCCCCATTCCCTGATATCTTAGAGTCCTTAGTGTCCAAAAGGGGAAAAGTGACCGTCCAGATTTGCCTCCTCGTTCATCTCCAGCCCTGGATCCCAAGTGTCACTAGGAAAGTCCAGGAGCCAGGTATCCAAAGTCCAGTTCTCCAAGGAGTCTTTCAGTGGGGTCTGGTTCATAGGTCGTAGGATTGTGGAGCTGGCCAAGAAGATGGAGATCCTAAGTCTACCGAGGCCCAGGGAGGGCCCAAGGCCGGGAGCGATGAGGTCAAAGGCAGAGGACGAGGCTCCATATATATTAAACACCCCCCCCCCCACACACACACAGAGCAGCCTTTGGTCAGGAAGTAAAGAACTGGAAGGAAAGTGGGAACCCATTGATTGGCAGAATGGAGCAACCAATTGTAGCCTATGAATGGAATGGAATCTTCCTGAAGTACTGAGAGGAAGAGTTCAAAGAAACCTGGGAAGACTTGTATACACTGATTCAGAGTGAAGTGGTCAAAACTGGAAGATTACAATGTAACAAGTGAAAACACCGAAAGAACTCCCATCTGTGCAATGAACAGTCATGACTTCGGAGGCTGAGCAGGCCAAGTGTGCCTCTTGACTTCTCAGCAGAGAGGTGGTGGACTGGGCTCTCAAACAGGGCCAGCTTGTTGCTTTGTTTTGCTTAATTGTGCTTTGTTATAAGGGAGGGTCATTTTTGGAGGAGGAGGGAGAGAATAAGAGAGTCTTTGGAAAGTAACAACGATTTAAAAAAAGACATTAATAAAACTTTAAAAAAATATATTGTAATTCACAGGGAACTTTAATTTAACTTTTTTGACCTGTTTCAGATTTTAGCAATCAACAAGCATTCATTAGGCTCTTATTATGTGTCAGGAGCTTTGCTAAAAATTAGAAATACAAAGACAAAAGTGAGAAAAACGTCTATGGGATTACAAAGACAAAAAAAAAAAGAACAAACCCTGCCTGTGAGAGGCTTATATTCTAATGAGAACATGTACATGTACAAGTATATATACACACAAATATATATATGTATATAAATATATTAGTGTATTTCCTTGTATATAATATATAATATAGAATATATTTATATTGTATATTTATATAGTATATTTATATTGTAATATAATGACATTAATACACTATATACTATGTAATTTATATATGCTATATATATTATACTGTTTTAAGAGAATGCACTACTAAAGGGTGAGAGGTTAGGGATCAAGAAAGGCTTCTTATAGACAGTGATATGCTGAGTTTTGAAGGAAACTGCAGGGGTTTTTTTTTATTTGATTTTTTTTTTAAAGGAAACTAGGCATTCTAAAAGGCAGGAGTAATGAGGAAGTATACTTCAGGCATGGAGGATGGCCAGTGCAAAAGCATAGAGACAAGGTGGAATAATGTGGGAGCAGTAGGTCAGTATAGCTGGATCAAGAAGTTCTAGGAGGTGAATAAAGTTTAAGAAGACTGGAAAAGTAGACTGAGGCCAGGTTGTAAAGAGATTTGAATAATAAATATTTGATCCTAGAGGTGGGGGCAGCTAGGTGGGGCAGTGGATAGAGGGTGTGGGGCCTGGAGTCAGGAACACCTAAATTCAAATCTGGCCTGAGACACTACTTGACCCTGTGCAAGTCATTTCATCCTGTTGGCCTCAGTTTCCTCATCTGTAAAATGAACTGGAGAAGGAAATAGCAAACCACTCCAGTATTTCTGCCAAGAAAACCCGAAAGTCAGACATTGATTAAACAACAACAACAGAGGAGTTTATTTAGAGGAATGGTATGATCAGCTCTGCACTTCAAGAAAATCATTTTGGTGAAAGTGGGGAGAGACTCACAGCAGGGAGGGAGACTACATAGGAGGTGCTACAATAGTGTGGTAATGAAGACCTGAATTAGGATGATGACTATGTTGGTGAAAATGTGAATACAGAAATGTCAAGATTTGGCAATATAATTGGATGTGTTGTAAACTTGGGCAACTTGAAGGATGATAGTAATCTTGACAATAATAGGGAAGTTTGGAAGAGGAGTGGATGGGGAAAAGACATGGCACAAGCAGTGAGTTTTGTTTTAGACATATTAAAGTTGAGATAGCCTGTTACAAGTGACCAATAGGCAACTGATGATCCAGTACTGGAACTCAGAGATACTAAGACCAGATATAAAGATCTGCACAGAAGTAGAGTTTGAACCTTTGGGAGCTGATGAGGTGGACAATTAAGAAGGTGTATAGAGAAAAGAGAGCTTAGGACAGAACCTTGGGATTTATAGTAGTGGACATGACATGCATGATGAATCTGAAAAGAGACTTGAAGAAGGATTAGGTGGAAGGAGAACCAGGAGAAAGAAGTGTCTTAAAACTCAGAGAGGGTCAAATGCCACAGAGAAGTCAAAAAGAAATTTGATTTGTCAACTGAGAGATCACTGGCAACTTTGGAGAGTTGAATGAAGAGATCAGAAACCATATTGCAGTGCACTATGAAAAGAGTGAAAGAAAGTAGAGGCACTGTGTAAAGATTTCATTTTTAAGATTTCCTAAGAAAGGGAGTAGAGACAAATAATGGTAGTTAGCAGGGATGATGATTTAGTGAGAGTTTTTCTTTAAGGATCAGGGAGACTTGGGCATGTTTGTGGTCAGCAGAAAAGGAATTAGGAGATAGAAACAGATTGGAGAATAGAGTGACAATGAGAGTGGGACAATCTAATGGGATTGAGATTGAATGGGATGAGATCAAGGGCACGTGTAGAGGGGGCCTTAGTGAAAAGGTCCATTTTTTAAAAGAGGTATGATGGGGTATGATATAAAGGAGTTGGGAGATAAGGAGTTGGTAGGTGGGGAGGAGGGCAAGTAGGGAGCTCTTGGTGAATGGCTTTGATTTTTTCAGTAATTGAGGGGCTCAGCTAAGGGAGTAGGGGAAGTAGGTGCTGTGGAAGCCTAGAGAAAAAAAGTTTTCAAGCAGCCATTATGGAAAGTGGTATAGAGGATTATGAAGGATTAAAAGGATTGCTTTTCAGCGCTTGTACAGTTGAGATCTGATAACATAGATTTGCAATAGACCTAGTCAATACTAGTTTCTTCAGCTTGCAGCACCTGAGTAGGACTGGGGGAAGTGGTTCAAGGAAATAAATCCAAGGTCAGGTTTTGGCAAGACTGATCTTTGAATATAAAAAGGAGTAAAGGACTCAAGAGCAGAGGATAGTTTAGAGTCGACAGGGCTCCTAAAAGTTTGAGATGGAGACAGGAGGAGGAGGAAGCCAAAGCAAGAGTGACGGCCTAGCAAAATAGGACCACATGTCTGGTGTGTTACAGTGGGCATTCCCTTGGTGAGTAAGTTGGATTAGGTCACTGCGGACTGTCCCAAATGTCAAGTTTTGTGATTTTGTGATGCCAAAAGGGAGAGAGATTACATGTCATGGTGAGGAAAAGAATGTAAGACATAGGGAGACATATGATGACAGAAGATTGTGATCAGATAAAGGAATTTCTGACTGCTCAATCATGGAAGCAGATCCCTTATGAGGAATGGCTAGATCAAAGAATTTGACAATCTCTGTGGGTCACTGAGATAGAATTAAGGAGTAGGTCATGGGAATTGAGCAGAGCGGGGAAATGGAAGGTCAGGTTGTTTGAGGCTATTTGACTTCAACAAGTATCCTATCAGTCAAGTATTTATTAAGCATCATGTGGCAGGCACTGTGTTAGGCACTGAGGATACAAGTACAAATATGTTGTGAGTCACACACTGAACTCATTGAGAAAGGAGGAAGGATATCCTAGATGTTAGCAAAAGAGCCACTTGGATCTGGATAAATTTGGATAACGTGAACTTCAATGGGGGAGAGGTTGCTGAGTGATAGGAATGTTCACCGATGGCAATGGATAAAGCAAGAGGTTTTTAAAGAAAGAGTTCAAATTATAAATAAAATTATTTTAGAGGGGAAAAAAAGCACTGCAGAAAAGACTTGGAAGGAGAATTTAAAGTTTAGTACAAGAAATACAAACCTTGCGCAAGTAAAAGATTCTCTAAAAATTAGAATTTTATCAAATAGAAGTTAATGACTATATCAGAAAACCAGAAGTATCAAAACAAAGTCAAAAGCCTGAAAAAAGAAAAAGAGAAGAAAATATGAGTTAACTCATGAAAAATAACTGATTGGGAAGATAAGTCACTGGATTACCTAATAACTGTGACCAAAAAAAAAAAACCAAACCCCAAACCCAAGCCCTAAAAAACTAACAAAACCCCCTGTATATCACATTTCAAGAAAGTAGGAAAGTAAATTGCCCAGATCTCTTAAAAGCAGAAGGCAAAGTGAAAATAGAAATAATCCACTGGTCATCTCCTGAAAAAAAATACTAAAATGAAAACTCCCAGGAATGTCATAGCCAAAATCCAGAACTTCTGGGTTAAACAAAAAATATTGCAAGCAGCCAGAAAGAAAGAATTCAAATACTGAGGAGCCATA